CCCAACAAAGAAAAGCCCAGGACCAGATGGATTCACTGCGGAATTCTACCAGACATTTAAAGAAGAACTGATTCCATTTCTTCTCAAACTATTCAGAACAATCGAAAAAGAGGGAATCCTCCCAAATTCTTTCTATGAAGCCAGCATCACCTTAATCCCTAAGCCAGAGAAAGATGCAGCACTGAAAGAAAATTATAGACCAATATCCCTGATGAACATAGACGCAAAAATCCTCAATAAAATTCTCGCCAATAGAATACAACAACACATCAGGAAATTCATCCACCCAGACCAAGTGGAATTTATTCCTGGAATGCAGGGATGGTTCAACATTCGCAAATCAATCAATGTGATTCACCACATTAACAGACTGCAGAAGAAAAACCATATGATTATCTCAATAGATGCAGAGAAAGCATTCAATAAAATTCAACACCCTTTCACGATGAAAACTCTAAGCAAATTGGGTATAGAAGGCACATTCCTCACTATAATCAAAGCAATTTATGAAAAGCCCACAGCCAGCATCCTATTGAATGGGGAAAAGTTGGAAGCATTTCCACTGAGATCTGGCACCAGACAGGGATGCCCACTCTCACCACTTCTATTTAACATAGTTCTGGAAGTTTTAGCCAGAGCCATCAGACAAGAAAAAGAAATTAAAGGAATACAAATTGAGAAGGAAGAAGTCAAACTATCCCTCTTTACAGACGATATGATTCTTTACTTAGGGGATCCAAAGAACTCTACTAAGAGACTATTGGAACTCATAGAGGAGTTTGGCAAAGTGACAGGATATAAAATCAATGCACAAAAATCAACAGCCTTTGTATACACAAGCAATGCCATGGCTGAGAAAGAACTGCTAAGATCAATCCCATTCACAATAGCTACAAAAACAATCAAATACCTTGGAATAAACTTAACCAAGGATGTTAAAGATCTCTACGATGAAAATTACAAAATCTTAAAGAAAGAAATAGAAGAGGATACCAAAAAATGGAAAAATCTTCCATGCTCATGGATTGGAAGAATCAACATCATCAAAATGTCCATTCTCCCAAAAGCAATTTATAGATTCAATGCAATCCCAATCAAGATACCAAAGACATTCTTCTCAGATCTAGAAAAAATGATGCTGAAATTCATATGGAGGCACAATAGACCTCGAATAGCTAAAGCAATCTTGTACAACAAAAACAAAGCTGGAGGCATCACAATACCAGATTTCAGGACATACTACAGGGCAGTTGTAATCAAAACAGCATGGTACTGGTACAGAAACAGATGGATAGACCAATGGAACAGAATTGAAACACCAGAAATCAACCCAAACATCTACAGCCAATTTATATTTAATCAAGGACCTAAAACCAATTCCTGGAGCAAGGACAGTCTATTCAATAAATGGTGCTGGGAAAACTGGATTTCCACGTGCAGAATCATGAAGCAAGAACCCTACCTTACACCTTACACAAAAATCCACTCAATGTGGATTAAAGACCTAAATCTACGACCTGACACCATCAAGTTATTAGAGAACATTGGAGAAACTCTTCAAGATATTGGCACAGGCAAAGAATTTCTGGAAAAGACCCGGGAGGCACAGTCAAAGCCAAAATCAACTATTGGGATTGCATCAAATTGAGAAGTTTCTGTACTGCAAAAGAAACAGTCAGGAGAGTGAAGAGACAACCGACAGAATGGGAAAAAATATTTGCAAACTATGCAACAGATAAAGGGTTAATAACCAGAATCTACAAAGACATCAAGAAACTCCACAAAAACAAAACCAACAACCCAATTAAGAAATGGGCCAAAGACCTCAATAGACATTTTTCAAAAGAGGAAATCCAAATGGCTAACAGGCACATGAAAAAATGTTCAAGGTCATTAGCAATCAGGGAAATGCAAATCAAAACCACAATGAGATTCCACCTCACCCCGGTTAGAATGACTCACATATAGAAATCTACCAACAACAGATGCTGGCGAGGATGTGGGGAAAAAGGGACACTAACCCACTGTTGGTGGGAATGCAAACTGGTCAAGCCACTATGGAAGTCAGTCTGGAGATTCCTCAGAAACCTGAATAGAACCCTACCGTTCGACCCAGCCATCCCACTCCTTGGAATTTACCCAAAGCAATTTAAATTTGCAAACAAAAAGCGGTCTGCACCCTAATGTTTATAGCAGCACAATTCACAATAGCCAAGACCTGGAACCAACCTAAATGCCCATCAAAGGTAGACTGGATAAAGAAATTATGGGATATGTACTCTTTAGAATACTATACCGCAGTAAGAAACAACGAAATCCAGTCATTTGCAACAAAATGGAGGAATCTGGAACACATCATGCTGAGTGAAATAAGCCAGTCCCAAAGGGACAAATACCATATGTTCTCCCTGATCGGTGACAACTTACTGGACACCAAAAAGGAAACCTGTTGAAGTGAAATGGACACTATGAGAAACGGTGACTTGATCAGCATAGCCCTGACTGTTAATGAACAACTTAATACATTATCCCTCTTAGTAGTTTTTTTGTCTACTCTACTTAATATGACTGGTTTAATTCTGTAATTAATACACAGTTATTCTTAAGTGTTGAAATTTAACTGAAATGTGATCCCTGTTAAACATAAGAGTGGGGATAAGAGAGGGAAGAGATGTACAATTTGAGACATGCTCAGGCTGACTTGCCCCAAATGGTAGAGTTAGAAGCATACCAGGGGATTCCAATTCAATCCCATCAAGGTGGCATGTGCCAATGCCATCTCACTAGTCCAAGTGATCAATTTTCAGTTCACAATTGATCATAATGAAAGGACTAAGAGTCAAAAGGAGCACATAAACAAGTCTAGTACCTGCTAATACTAACCGATAGAATAAATAAAGGGGAGAGTGATCCAACGTGGGAAGTGAGATACTCAGCAGACTCATAGAATGGCAGATGTCCTAAACAGCACTCTGGCCTCAGAATCAGCCCTAAAGGCATTCGGATCTGGCTGAAAAGCCCATGAGAGTATTTCAGGCATGGAAAGCCAAGACACTCTGGCAAAAAAAAAAAAATACTAAACAAAAGATCTCTGTGAGTGAGATCCCAGTGGAAAGAACAGGTCTTCAAAGAAGGAGGTATCTTTCTCTGAAGGGAGGAGAGAACCTCTACTTTGACTATGACCTTGTCTAAACAAGATAAGAGTCGGAGAACTCAAGGGGCTTCCATAGCCTTGGAAACTCATGACTGGAGCATGGGGAGATTACTGAGGCCATAAACAAGAGTGTCAATTTGTAAAGTCAACAACAGGAGTCACTGTGCACTCGCTCCTCATGTAGGATCTCTGTCCTTAGCGTGCTGTACATTGAGACTTAATGCTATAACTAGTACTCAAACAGTATATTTCACTTTGTGTTTCTATGGGGGTGCAAACTGTTGAAAGCTTTACTTAATGTATGCTAAACTGATCTTCTGTAAAAAAAAAAAAAGAAGAAGAAGAAGAAGAAGAAGAAATTATCAATTCCCAACTTGATTCTCACTGGGATTAAACATGACAATAGGTCTGATCTGATTTCATCATCATTTAAAAAATCATCTATTATTTTTCACTTTATGTTTCTGTGTGGGAGCAAACTGTTGAAATCTTTACTTAATGTATGCTAAACTGATCTTCTGTAGATAAAGAGAATCGAAAATGAATCTTGATGTGAATGGAATGGGAGAGGGAGTGGGAGAGGGGAGGGTTGTGGGTGGGAGGGATGTTATGTGGGGGAAGCCATTGTTATCCATAAGCTGTACTTTGGAAATTTATATTCATTAAATAAAAGTTAAAAAATAAAGTTAAAATCAGAGGGTGTGGTATTATGGCACAGTGAAGTTAAGCTGCTGCTTGTGACACCCACATGCCATATTGGAGCACGGTTGAGTCCAAGCTGCTTGACTTCTAATCCAGCTTCCTGCAAATATGCCTAGGAAAGCAATGGAAGATGGCCAAAATTTTTGGGCTCCTGCCACCTATGTAGGAGAGAAGGGTTTCCTGGTTTTTCACTTCAACCTAGCCCAGACCAGGCTTTTGTGGACATTTGGGGAGTGAACATGGATGGAAGATTTTCTTTCTCTCTCAAGCTCTTTAAAATGAATAAATCATTTTTAAAGTTACAATTATCAAGAATAAGTTTTAATATTCTATTGCAAGTAGGGTTATTACTGTTATTGGTAATATACCATATATTTCAAGATAGTTAGAAGAGAGAACTTTAAATGTTTCAACACAAAGAAATAACGCTTATGGTAATGAATGTTATTTACTCTGATGTGCTCATTATATGGAATACATGTATTGCAATATCACATTGTACTCCATGAATCCATGCTGCGGGCCTGAGTCAAAATCATAATGAGTTTCAGAATGGGTTTGGAGCACCAGTCCCATATGGTGGCAGACTTTCCTACAGGATTGGCTGTTACTAAGAATGACAAATATACAGACTGGAAGAATCATCCCACTCACAACTCTCCTCTCATCCAGTTTAAACTAAAAAGAAAACAGAAAATTCACTACATTTTTGAAAATGAGAACATTTAAATGATACAAAAGGTTTCATCAGTTGTCAAGGATACTCCCAAGAGTAGACTTATAAATTTCAACCTTGTTTTCTTTTTCATAGTCTTACTTGTGTGTGTGTGTGTGTGTGTGTGTGTATTAAAAGAAATACCTTTGTGTATGAACATACATAGGGTACTCGTGATAGTTTTTGAGAAAATGGAATTAAAATTAGCTGCAAATTTTGGGAATGCATTCACAGTTTGTTAATAATATTCATATTCCAAAAACTTTTTAAAGATATCTCTGTGCATGAATTTCAACATAAGCTTTTATTTGAATTCCATTTTCATGAGTTCTTAGAAGTTCTGCCCTATATTTAGTTATGCATATATACGGGTTTGGTGTATATGTATACACACAAATACATCTATAACTTTTAAAATTTATAACTCACATGGTACTGGGTGCTTCCTCATAATTTTCATATGTCAATTCTTCTGTATTTGGTCTAAAGAATTAAAAAGTAAATAGTGAGATACCATGGGGTAAGATATCTTACCTTTTTGTGTCAACTAATTACATTCATTCTAAAAACTGATGTGATATATAGATATAGATATCACTATTTTTCAATCTGGCTTTTTAAAAAATTAGAAATGAAGCTCTTTGTGGTGGAAATGAATATATTAGGCTTGTGAAAGTTGTAATATATGCAGATTTAAGTACCTATTATCTTAACACCAGCTTGTAAGAGTCTTTGGAAAGGACATTTATTACAAACTCAAACTACATTTTATAGATCCACATACCATTTACTATGTCCAGAGTCCTCATTCTTATGTCCCTCTTTATTTTCACCTCTCATGGTCGTCTTCCTTGCCTATGAAACACTTCACTTGAAAGCAATGATGACATTGTTGCTGAGTTGACAGAAGCAGCAAATACATAACTTAAAAAAATAACCATGAAGGAGAAACCAGAAGAATTCCCATGACCGCTTATAATTAAAATATTTGGAGGAAGCACCTGGCTCCTGGATTCGGATCGGTGCAGCGTGCTGGCCATAACAGCCATTTGTGGGGTGAACCAATGGAAGGAAGACCTTTCTCTGTCTCTCTGTCTCTCTCTCTCTCTCACTCTCTCACTGTCTAACTCTGCCTGTCAAAAAAAAGTTAAGTAAAGGGGAATATTTTGCTAAGAGAGTACTGAGTTTTAGTACTTGGTATAGAGCTTCCAACCAATGTATTCCATCAAGGAAGATAGCAACAGCTGACCTGTCAGCAGCATTGCAGAGAGGGAGTCTGCTCAGCTGACAAGGTTGTGTTTTCCAAAACTGATGCTTAATTGTAGATGTTATCCTAATTTGTGACATGGAACTAACTCACACATCAGTCTTTGATCAAACAAAAGTACAGATTCTATAAAAACACAATCTGGCTTTTGAATTTGTTAAATCACGTGCTTTGCCACAGGAAATGGAGGCTCTTACAAGGGTTGGATCAGAATTAAAACCCCAAACCCACCCTCTGTTAACCAAGCAGGGATGGTCTGCATTACTTTACTCAACAAGAAGGAAGCAACTGTAATGAGGAGAGATTGCCTCGCCTTACTAACGATTAGCTAGTACCATCATCTAAGGAAAATGAAGCCATGTTGCATCCATGTGTTTCCATCTGCAGAAACCTCACAGGACAGTACAAATTCCTGGCACTTTTACACTCATTGAAGCAGCAAATTCCTCCTTGCCTTTAAGGGCTATGGTTGTGGCATGACCCTTGGCTAACAGGCTGTGAAAATCCAGTTTGCTGTAGCAGAGCTTTCTAACAGACATTTTAAAAAAATCGAATAACCATGTGAAATAATTCTGGCTTAAAAATAGAACATAAATTACAGAGTGGAAGGTGAAGGACAAAAAAGCCTTTTACCTTTAATTTTCCTGGAGAATTGCATAAAGATTTTTGTATAATAGTTTTGCCCTGATTACTGAAGTGGCACGTAAAACTAGAATGAATATTTTGTTTTGAAAAGGTGCTCAAGCTCTGATATTTTTGGTTTTCATAGCTGTGAAGTATTTATCATTTGCATGACTAATAGCACAGGAAAAACCTATTCATAAGCTTTACAATCAAGTGTAGAAGAGCTTTCAACTAACTGGAGTGTTTTTTTTTTTTTAAACAGGCAGAGTGGATAGTGAGAGAGAGAGAGACAGAGAGAAAGGTCTTCCTTTTTTTGCCGTTGGTTTACTCTTCAATGGCACAGGAGGCAGGTGCTTCTCCTGGTCTCCCATGTGGGTGCAGAGCCCAAGTACTTGGGCCATCCTCCACTGCCCTCCCAGGCCATAGCAGAGGGCTGGCCTGGAAGAGGGGCAACCAGGACAGAATCCAGCACCCCAACCGGGACTAGAACCCGGTGTGCTGGTGCTGCAGGTGGAGGATTAGCCTATTGAGCCATGGCACTGGCCCTTACTGGAGTTTTTAAAGCTGACAAAAGATTATCTTGAGCTGGGCCGCTGGAGATAAATTTAGCCTTCAGAACTGCTATATCACTGATCCTGAGATCTATGTACCACCCCAAATTTGCTTAGTTTCACAGTCTTGTGCAAGTAACCTTTTGTCTTATGTGTGTAGCTGAGAGAAGAGTGTATGCTGTGTGTCCATGTATTTATGGTTCCTAAGAATTTGGCACAAGTTGGAAATAATTGCCTACACTGAGAATCTATACTGCAGAATATGCTGTATCAAAGACTTTTTCTTTTAAATTAGTTGAGTGTCTTTTATACATTATTGAAATTATTGGTAGCCCACCCCCTGAAGTGCTTAATAACTGGCATTAAGGTTATAGGATGGGAAAAAAGCTGGGTAGGATTTTCATAGATAAGGAAACTGAAGAAATTAAAGCCAGGCCATGGCTATCAAGAATGTTTCCATTGTGAATATTTCCAAGCTTTGGTATAATTTTTATAATCCTCATTTATGAAGCTCCTTGTGTAAAAGACAGAAAGTTTTGACCAACTTTATTGCAAATATATTTGACTATATAAAAATTGATTTGACTCAAATGCAGGGAAATCAGATTCAAGAAGTATAGTTTACGGAAATAGGAAACATTCATTAGTGAATTGGTGGGGTTTTGAAGCTTCTAACTTCCCAGAATGTTCTGGTTTCTGAGAATTCTATAATTAATAGAAATTTATGACAACTAAGATTGCATTTTGGAAGCAACTATGAAAATTTTGCAGTTTTAATTTTGGATTGCTATGCAGATGTTATAAATAGGTTAAAAATGTGAAAGACTTGGCAAAATGTAAGCTGGAAAAGATTATCTTACATTTATGGTTTTAGTTAAAAATGTTTCTATCAGATACTAAGGTGGGCTTTTACTGGACAGATGTTAATAATAACTGATTTGGCTACCTGATCAATGTTCCCATATAGCCCTACACATTTTGTGACAAGATAACAAAATTTCCAAAACCTGGAGATGGGTCCACCTGTGCTCTTATTATTGGTATTCATTTGGTATGAACAAAACTCAGTTTGAGAGAATTTGTCTGTTGAGATGTTAATACAAAGCTTAACAATGGGAAGACTGTATTTGTTGGCATAAGAAATACTGGTGTCAACAGAGGAAAATTGGTGACCTTGGGTCATTATTCTATGCCCTGTTCAGACTAGCAGCTAGATAGGTGAGTTTGAATTTCTTTCTTTTTCTTTTCTTTTTTCTTTCTTTCTTTCTTTCTTTTTTTTTTTTTGACAGGCAGAGTTAGTGAGAGATAAAGGTCTTCCTTCCATTGGTTCACCCCCCAAATGGCCACTACGGCAGGCGTGCTGCACCAATCTGAAGCAGGAGCTGGGTGCTTCCTCCTGGTCTCCCATGAGAGTGCAGGGCCCAAGCACTTGGGCCATCCTCCACTGCCTTCCCGGGTCACAGCAGAAAGCTGGACTGGAAGAGGAGCAACTGGGACAGAATCCGGCACCCCAACCGGGACGAGAACCCGGGGTACCGGCGCTGCAGGCAGAGGATTAGCCTAGTGAGTCGCAGCGCCGGCCTGAATTTCTAACATGCCTAAAAATATTATGGTTTGATCCAAAGACCCTCTTTTTCTTTAACTATCGTGATAAGGTTTTGTTTTGGTTTTTATTTTTATACAAGAGCAGCATTTATTTTAAGTTGTTTTATTTTAATATTACAACTTTTGTTTTTTTCAGCTGTGATGCCAATGGTAACTCTGCCTTTCATTTTGTTGAACTTACAAGAAAACCAGCTGGCATCTGATCGAAAGTATTATGTAAAATCTTTTCTTAAACTATCAGAGGGTGCTTCGATCATTTTTCTCCTTTGGTTTGTAGAGTTAGGACTGAAGTTTCACCTCTGATCACTATAGTTGCCATCACTTTTCTGTATTTAAAACTACTGATATTTGCTTTCCTATATGAGGAAATGTTACCTAAGGATGTCTGGCATTTTCTTTCAGGGTTTTCCAGTTTGAGTGTTCTCAGTGTTCCTATGAAGATAATTGTTTTGTGTGCTGATGTTGAGTTTTTGTTTGTCTTTTTTTTCCAGTGTTTTTTTTTTCTCAGTAGTTTTGTGTTAGCACTGATTAAGCTTAATTGTCTCCATAGCCAATGAAATGTTAAAGACTATGGGGGGAGTCTTTTTTTTTTTAACATGTCATTGTGCATCTGTTAAATCTTGATCAGGGTTTCAAGAATGACTGCAGTGGGTTTTGGAAACAAACTTAACATTATTGATTTGGGGTTTCCCAGAGATATAGTTCACAGTTAATTGTTGAACTCTAATACAACTGACCATTTAAAATTTAACAATGGCTTATTTTTTTAAACAGTGTCAGCTGTTAAATCTTGACATTTCAATTGAAACATGAATTGTAGTTATAACTCAATACAAATTCAACAGTTGTATTTGGAGTTAAACTATTTTAATAAATAAATTCATTTAATGAAACTGAAAAGAAAAGATTTACTTGAAAAACAGAGGGACAAAGAGTGGGAGAGAGAGAGCAAGAGCAAGAGCAAGAGAAGGACAGAGAGAAATATAGCTATCCTTTACTGGCTTCAACAAGGGCTGCACCAGGGCAATGTCAGGAGGCAGAAACTCCATCTCAATTCCCCATGTGGGTGACAGGGTCTAATGTTGAGTCATCATCCACATCCTTTCAAGATGCATTAACAGGAAGTTAGATTGGACAGGCAACAACCAAGACTGGGACCAGCACTGCAATCTGTGATGCCACAGCTGCAAGTAGTATCAACCTTCCATGTGTGCCACTCTATACACCTTTTGATGATTACTCATGGATAAACCTGTACACATACACACACAACATATATACACACAGATGTATGTAATCTGATATAAATGCAACCCTAAAAGACAAAGGATTAAAGTAATATTTAGTTCTCTCTGGATATACTACTCTTTTAATAGTCCTGATATAGTCATTATTGTCACATGAAGCCTCATTTTTAATTTTCAATAGTACCTACCACATTCAAATCAGTGATATGCACATGTGTATTTGTATATCAATCAGTTCACAGGTAGTACCTTAATTTTAAGGATAGTGTACACTTACCTGTGTATTTTGGGGGATTCATGTATACATATACACATATTGAATTTGTTTTTCACTCACTTGTCATTGATGGATTCCACAAAAGTAATGGATGTTGATTCCTTTGGCTGTGAGCTAAGGGAATATAAAGATACAAAGTCAGAAATCACACAAGATTTTATCTTAACATTTTTGCTCAAATAACTACAGTTATTCTGGACATGAACTGGTTGATCTCCAGATGGTCATGTTACACTGGTGTGTATTTCTATTAGAAATGAAACTTTATGGGGGCCAGTGTAGTAGCATAGGTGAAGCTGCCACCTAGGACACTGGCATCTCAGTTGGTGCTTGATCACTACTTGGCTGCTCCAATTCCAACCAAGCTCCTTGCCAAATGTCCCTGGAAAGCAGCAGAAGAAAGTCTAAATGCTTGGGCCATTGCACTCACATAGGTGACCTGAAAGGAGGTCACATGAAGCCTCATTTTTAATTTTCAATAGTACCTACCACATTCAAATCAGTGATATGCACATGTGTATTTGTATATCAATCAGTTCACAGGTAGTACCTTAATAAATAAAACTTAAAAAAGAAAACACAAATGAAACATCACATGTATGCATATACACATATTGAATTTGTTTTTCACTCACTTGTCATTGATGGATTCCATAGAAGTAATGGATGTTGATTCCTTTGGCTGTGAGCTAAGGGAATATAAAGATACAAAGTCAGAAATCACACAAGATTTTATCTTAACATTTTTGCTCAAATAACTACAGTTATTCTGGACATGAACTGGTTGATCTCCAGATGGTCATGTTGTATCACTGTTTGAACTTGGTGTGTATTTTTATTAGAAATGAAAAATTATGGGCGTCAGTGTAGAGCTATAGGTTAAACTGCCACCTAGGATGCTGCCATCCGATCTGAGCACTTGATCTCCACCTAGCTGCTACACTTCTGATCAAGCCCCCTGCCAATGTGCCTGGGAAATCAGCAGAAGATGGCACAAGTTCTTGCAGCCATTCACCCACATCGGAGACCTGGAAGGAGTCTCTGGCTTCCTGGTTTTTGCCCAGTCTCACACCAGCTATTGGGGCCATCTAGTGAGGGAACCTGCAGAGGACAGATCTCTGTTTTGGCCCCCTCTCTCTATATTTGGCCTCAAATATAGAAATAAGATAATAAAAAAAACAGAAATAAAACATCAATTCCACTAAGAGGTAGCTACATGCTGTGAAAATCGCAAGGCTTCTGGATTATGTGAAGCTCTTGATTATTACCTAAATTCCAAGGAATGACTCCAACTTAAAACTTTTCTTATGCATTAGTTTTTTATTTGAAAGACAGAATCCCAGAGATGGAGACATTGAGACATCTTCCAGCTATTCGGTTACTCACCAGATGCTTGCAATGGCAGGCCTTAGGCTAGAACAAAGCCTGAAGCCAGGAACTTCATCTGGGTCTCCTATGTGGGTGGCAGGGACTGAATTACTTGCCAGAAGCATTGAGAGGGAGCAGGATCAGAACTGGTACAGCCAGGACTCAAACCATAAGTCTGATATGGGATGCCAGTGTCGCAACTGGTGACTTGACCCAATACATCACAGCACCAGCCCCAACAGCTTTTTGTTTCTCAGCATTTACTTTGAATTCAATTTACTTTTGGTATACATCATTCCATACCACCTATGTTCCCAATTCTCAAGTCTCTCCATCGCCTTCCTACTTTCATACAGGATTCACTTTTCTTCTCCAAACATACAGTCAAGTAATGCAGGCCTAAGCCTGTGGCACCCTCCAATATATATATTTATATATTAAAATAGATTATATATTATATATAATAATACAATTATATTATATAATAACATAATTATATTTTTATATATAAGTTATATATATATATAAATTCAGTTATTTACAGATCCTATACTGAAATGATTTAAATTATGTCAAATATAGTCTATGTTGCTAAGGATACTCCTCATGGTAAGTATTATATATCTTGACTTTTGTTTCTTTTCACGGCTTCTGTGTATATAATGTGTGTGTGTGTGTTTGTGTGTGTGTGCTTCCATGTTCTGAACATAGTTTTAGTATACACATGTATATCTGTGTACACATGTATATCTGGAACAAAATACCATTCTTGTATCAGATCCCAAAGAAAAGAGATTGTTGAAGTGCCTGAGAAAGAATTCAAAAGAATTACGGATGGTCAAAGAGATACAACTGAACACAGACAAATAGTTAAAAAAAAATTAGAAAACAATGCACAAAATCAATGAGATAGTCAGGAAGGACGTAGACATCCTGAAGAAGAACCAAACAAATCTTGGGGATGAACTCACCAGATCAAATAAAAAATACAGTTGAAAGCCTCAACAACAGACTTGATCAAACAGAAAAAAGAATATCTGAATTTGAATACAGATCATTTGGAATATCATCTCAGTCATCAAACAAAACAAACAAAAAAGTAAAAAGACAGAATGAAGACAGTCTATGAGACCGTTGGGAAACTACCAAACAAATAAATATCCAAGTTATGGGAATCCCTGAGAGAGAACAGAGGATTAATGGACTAGAAAACCTACTCATTGAAATAATGGCTGAAAACATCCCAGGTTCCTTCCATATCTAGAGAAAGATATGGACATGCTAGGATAGAAGGCCCACAGAACCTCAAATAGACATGACTAGAAAAGAACTTCACCATGACATATTCTGTCAAACTCTCTAAAGTACAACACAAAGAATATTAAAATCTGCCAGAGAAAATTATCAAGTGACCTTCACTCGAAACATCATTAGAAGAGTAACCGTGGTTTCAACAGAAACAATACAGGCCAGGAGAAAACAGAAAGATATAGTCAAGTTCTGAAAAAAAAGTCTATCAGAATACTTTGACCAGCTTAGCTATATTTCATGAATGAAGAGATATATTCTGAGACAAACAAACATTGAAGAAAGCTGTCTATATCTGAACAGCTTTATAAACAATGCTTAAAGGAGTTCTATAGATAGAAACAAAGAAGAGAAATATACTTTTGCATGGAAATTGCACTTTGTGTATTTGTAATGAATATCTTTGGCCTATGGGAAAAATGACTCAAAATTCATGTTCAGTTTTTCTACAAAGAGACAGACTCCTATCCATTAGCATACTGAACATTTCCTTTGAGCTTTGTCTAGGGGTTACTCAATGTGAATACCAGAAGGAAGAAATATTCCTCTTATGACATACTCCTCTTTAATCCAAATATATACAAAAACCTAGAAAAAGTAGCTACATATGCTACTGTGAGAACACATTAAAGGAGTGTAAAAGACTGTCTCTTGCCATGCTTCCTGCCTACAACTACCAAGTCTTTGCTTGCAAAATGGGTTCTCTTCTCCCTAGGATCACTGTGCATCACACTCACAGGTATTTTGATATTTGCCTAGGTTCTAAATGGTGATAGGCTCTGGTTTCTAGTCTCTAAAGTTCACAAACATACCATGAGTACATATTTTCATTACTTATCAATAGTCCCCTTGAATGTAAATGGCTTCAACTCTCCTGTTAAAAGACAGACTAGCTGAATGGATTAAAATCAAAACCCATCTATTTGCTGCCTATCATAAACATATCTCACCAACTAAGATGCACGCAGACTGAAAGTGAAAGGAGAGAAAAAGATATTCCATGCAATTTTTGATGATTCATGCACACACCCATTCATATACACACACACCACATATACACACACAAATAAATATATGTAATCTGACATAAATGCAACCCTAAAAGACTAGTGTTTAAAGTAATAGTTATTTCACTCTGGATATACTGCTGTTTTAAGAGTCCTGAGCTAATTATTATTGTAACATTAATCCTCATTTTAAATCAAATATACCTACCATGATGTGCACACATGTATTTAAATATTATTCAGTTGACAGGTAGTAACATACCTGTGTCTTTTGGGGGATTCATGTATACAAATACACACTGAGTTTGTATTTCACTCACTTGTCACTGATAGATTCCACATATATACTAGATGTTGATTCTCCTGAGTGTGACCTAAGGGAATATAACGGTATATAATCAGAAGTCACACGAGGTTTTATCTTATTATTTTAGCTCAAATGACTACAGTTACTCTTGACGTGAACACAATAGACCAAATGGGACCTAACAATATCTACAGAAGTTTTCATCCTAAAGTAGCAGAATACACATTCTTCTCAGCAGCGCATGGAACTTTCTCCAGGATTAACTACATACTAGGCCATAAAGCAACTCTCAGCAAATTAAAAAAAAATCAAAATCATACCATGCATCTTCTAAGACCACAATGGAATGAAGCTGGAAATCAGCAACTTGAGAATCTCTAGAGCATATGCAAACACATGGAGTTTGAATAACACGTTCCTGAATGAACAGTGGTTCATAGAAGAAATCAAAAGAGAAATCAAAACTATTCTGGAAATGAAGATGACAACACTTAGCAAAACTTATGGGATACAGCAAAAGCAGTGTTAAGAGCAAAGTTTATAGCAATAGGTGCCTACATCAAGGAATTGGAAAGGCACCAAATAAATGACCTATCATTGCAACTCAAGGATCTAGAAAAATGACAGCAAAGCAAACCCAAAGCTAGTAGGAGAAAAGAAATAATTCAAATTAGAGAGAAATCAACAAAATTGAATTCAAAAAACAATACAAAAGATCAGCAAAATGAAGACTGGTTTTTTGAAAAAACAAACAGAATTGAAACATCATCAGACATTACCACAAAGAGTTGTATACCAGCAAACAGGGAAATCTATCAGAAATGGATTGATTCCTGGACACATACAACCTCCCTAAATTGAGCCATGAAGACACAGAAAACCTAAACAGACCCATAACCAAGACAGAAATTGAATCAGTAATAAATGCCCTCCCAACAAAGAAAAGCCCAGGACTAGATGGATTCACTGCTGAATTCTACCAGTCATTTAAAGAAGAACTAACTAAATCTCTTCTCAAGTTATTCAAAACAATTGAAAGAGAGGGAATCCTCCCAAATTCTATGAAGCCAGCATCACCTTAATTTCTAAACCTGAAAAGGATTAATAGAGAAAGAGAATACAGACCAATTTTCCTGATGATCATAGTCGCAAAAAGCCTCAACAAAATTCTAGCCAATAGAATCACACAACACACCAGAAAGATCACCCACCCAGACCAAGTGGGATTTTCCCTGGTATGCAGGGATGGTTCAACATTTGCAAATCTATATGTGATGCACTACATTAACAAACTGCTGAAGAAAAACCATATGGTTATCTCAATAGATGCAGAGAAAGCATTTGATAAAATACAAGTCTTTGATAGTTAAAACCCTCAGCAAACTGGACATAGAAGGAACATTCCTCAACAAAATCATGGCAATTTATGACAAACCCACAGCCAGCATCATACTGAATGCGGAAATGTTGGAAGCATTCCCACTGAGATCTGGTACCAGATGGGGATGCCCACTCTCAGCATTGCTATTTGATATAGTACTGGAAGTTTTAGCCAGAGCCATTAGGCAAGAAAAAAAATCAAAGGGGTATAAATTGGGAAGGAAGAAGTCAAACTATCCCTCTTTGCAGATGATATGATTCTTTATTTAAGGGATCCAAAGAACTCCACCAAGAGACTATTGGAACTCACTGAAGAGTTTGGTAAAGCACCAGGATATAAAATCAGTACACAAAAATCAGGAGCCTTTGTACACACAGGCAATGCCACAGCTGAGAAAGAACTTCTAAGATCAATCACATCACCACAGCTACAAAATCAAATACCTTGGAATAAACTTAACCAAGGATGTCCGAGGTATCTATAATTAGAATTACAAAACTTTAAAGAAATAGAAAAAGGTACAAAAAATGGAAAAATCTTCCATGTTCATAGATTGGTAGAATTAATGTCATCAAAATGTCCATTCTTCCAAAAGCAATTTACTGATTCAATGCAATACTAATCAAAATACCACAGACATTCTTCCCAGATGCAGAAAAAAAAATGAATCTGAAATTCATATGGAGGCACAGGACATCTAAATAGCTAAAGCAATCTTATACAACAAAAACAGAGCTGGAGGCATCACAATATCTGGTTTTAAGACATAATACAGGGCAGTTATAATCAAAACAGCCTGGCACCGGTACAGAAACAGATGGATAGACCAATGGAACAATTAGAAACACCAGAAACAATCCAAAGATCTACAACCAACAGATTTCTCATCAGAGACCCTAAAAGCTAAGAGAGAATAGTGAGATATAGTCCAAGAATAAAAGAAAAAATTGTCTTCAGAATAGTGAACCCTGCAAAGCTCTCATTTATGAATGAAGGTGTAATAAAGACCTTCCATAAAAAACAAATTGAAAGAATTTGTCACCACCAACCCAGCCTTACAAGAGATGCTTAAGGATGTGCTGCACACAGAAACACAGAAACATAGTTATCACTATGAAAGAAGGTAAAGGCAGAAAACCTCTCAGTAAAAGTACAAAGGAAATACAAAATAAAAAATAGGAATGTTTATGGAAAGATGGTAGGGCAAAGTTGTTATTTATCAGTAGTCTCCTTGAATATAAATGGCCTATCTATCCAGGTAAATGACAGAGACTGGTTCAATGGATTAAAAAAGAAAACCCATCTGGGGCCAGTGCCATGGCTCACTTGGTTAATCCTCCACCTGTGGTGCTGGCATCCCATTTGGGTGCCAGTTCTAGTCCTGGTTGCTGCTCTTCCAGTCCAGCTCTCTGCTATGGCCTGGGAGGGCATTGGAGGATGGCCCAAGTGTTTAGGCCCCTGCACCCACATGGGAGACTGGGAAGAAGCCCCTGGCTCCTGGCTTCAGATTGGCACAGTGTCATAGCGGCCATTTGTGGAGTGAACCAATGGAAGGAAGACATCTCTCTCTCTCTCTCTCTCTCTCTCTCTCTCTCTCACTGTCTATAACTCTACCTGTCAAATAAAAAAAAAAGAAAAAAAAAGAAACCTACAAGAAACACATCTCACCAACAAGATACAACAAGATACACGCAGGCTGAAAATGAAAGGAGGGAAAAGATATTCCATGTGCTTTTTGATGATTATTCATGTAGACACCCACACACCACATATACACACACAGATAAATGTATATAATCTGACATAAATGCAAACCTGAAAGACAAGGGGAAATAGTTATTTCCTTAATAACAATTATATACTTATTTAAGAGTTCTGAGACAGTCATTGTCACATGAGGCCTCATTTTTAGTTTTCAAAAATATCTACCATGTCCAAATTAATGATATTCACATGTGTATTTTTATATCAATCAGTTCACAGGTAGTACCTTAATTTTAAGTATTGTGTATTATTACCTGTGTCTTTTGGGGGATTCATGTATACATATACACATATTGAATTTGTTTTTCACTCACTTGTCATTGATGGATTCCACATAAGTAATGGATGTCGATTCTTTTGGCTGTGAGCTAAGGGAATATAAAGATACAAAGTCAGAAATCACACAATATTTTATGTTATTATTTTTGCTCACATGACTACATTTATTATGGACATGAACTGGTCGATCTCCAGATGGCCATATTATATCACTGCACATGGTTTGTATTTTTATTAGAAATGAAGCTTTATGAGGGCCAATGCAGTGGCATTGATTAAGCTGCCATCTAGGATCCTGGCATCAGATCTGGGCACTCAATCTCTCCTTGGCTGGTCCACTTCCAATCAAGCTCCTTGCACAATGTGCCTGGGATATCAGAGGAAGTTGGTCTAAGTCTTGGGTCCATGTACCCACATGAGAGACCTGAAAGGAGGTTCTGGCTTCCTGGCTTTAGGGACCATCTAGGGAATGAATCTGCAGATGACAGATATCTCTGTCTTGTCCCCTTCATCAGTACTTCTACCTTTCAAATAAATAAAATTTTTTTAAAAATCAGAAATGAAACATTACATCCCACTAAGGGATAGCTATGTCCTGTGAAAATAGCAAGGCTTCTAAATTCCTAGGAGTGACTGTAGTCTTAAAACTTTTCTTAAAGATTAGTTTGTTCATTTGAAAGACAGAATCCTAGAGAGGGAGACATAGAGAGATCTTCCATCTACTAGTTTACTCCTCAAATGCCTGCAATGACTGGGCCTAGACTAAGCCAAAGCCAGAAGCCAGCTACTTCATCTGGGTCTCCCATGTAGGTGTCAGGGACTCAATTTCTTGGGCCATCTTCTGCTTGCTTCTTGGAAGCACTGGGAGGGAGCAGGATCATTAGCGGTGCAGCCAGTACTCAAACTGTAAGTCTAATATAGGATGCCAGAGTCAAGTGGTGGCTTAACCCACTGCACAAAAACATCACCCCCAACAGCATTTTGTTTCCTCAGCATTTCCTTTGAATTCAATTTATGTTAGGTACACATCACTCCAAACCACCTATATAACAATTCTCAAGTCTCTCAATCGCCTTCCTACTTTCATACAGATTTCACTTTCCTTCTCTGAACATACAGCCAAGTAACTGCAGGCCTGAGCCTGCAGCACTCTCCAAAATAACACTGGGTTGGGGCCACCAAACTCATATAGTGACGGAGCACTGGAGTATGAGAGACACATCCAGGTTCCATTAGTTCTGATCATTTCTGCTAAGGAAGTCACTGTTTCCTGTCCATTATTTTCTTTTTTGCTTCCCATAGATTTCTTTCATTCTGTGGCTCAATGCAGTAGAGACAATAAATGGAAAGCTTTAGTTTTATATATATATATATATATATATATATATATATATATATATTTACAGATCTGTAAGTTATTTTACAGATCTTATTGTGAGAAGATTTAGATTATGTCTAATAGAGTCTAAGTTGCTAAGGATACTTCTCCCAGTAAATATTATATATCTTGACCTCTATTTCTTTTCATGGCTTCTGTGTATATTGTGTCTGTGTGTGTACATGTATGCTTTGGACAGATGTTTGAATATCAACATGTATATATATTAACATGTGTATAAATATAGCTATGTACACAAATTTATTTCAAAAATTTCATATAAAGTGTACATTACATTTTAATTATATTTTCACATTAATTATTTGAAATGCTCAAAGACACATTTATGTCTGTGTGCACATGTATGTCTGGAACAAAATACCATTCTTGTATTAGGTTCCAAAGAAGAGAGATTGATGAAATTCCTGGAAAAGTATTCAAAAGAATGATTATATGGTGGTCAAAGAGATACAACTGAACACAGATAAATAGCTAAACAAAATCAGAAAACAATGCACAAAATCAATGAGATATTCAGGAAGGAGATAGACATCCTAAAGAAGAACCAAACAAATCTTGGGGATGAACTCACCAGATCAAATAAAAAATACAGTTGATGTTGAAATCTTTACTTAGTACATACTAAATTGATCTTCTGTATATAAAGATAATTGAAAATGAATCTTGATGAAGAATGGGATGGGAGAGGGAGTGGGATATGGGATGATTGTGGGTAGGAGGGTGATTACGGGGGGGAAAAACCACTATAATCCAAAAGTTGTACTTTGGAAATTTATATTTATCTAATAAAAATTGAAAAATACAGTTGAAAGCCTCAACAACAGACTTGATCAAACAGAAAAAAGAATATCTGAATTTGAATACAGATCATTTGGAATATCATCTCAGTCATCAAACAAAACAAACAAAAAAGTAAAAAGACAGAATGAAGACAGTCTATGAGACTGTTGGGAAACTACCAAACAAATAAATATCCAAGTTATGGGAATCCCTGAGAGAGAACAGAGGATTAATGGACTAGAAAACCGACTCATTGAAATAATGGCTGAAAACATCCCAGGTTCCTTCCATACCTAGAGAAAGATATGGACATGCTAGGATAGAAGGCCCACAGAACCTCAAATAGACATGACTAGAAAAGAACTTCACCATGACATATTCTGTCAAACTCTCTAAAGTACAACACAAAGAATATTAAAATCTGCCAGAGAAAATTATCAAGTGACCTTCACTAGAAACATCATTAGAAGAGTAACCGTGGTTTCAACAGAAACAATACAGGACAGGAGAAAACAGAAAGATATAGTCAAGTTCTGAAAAAAAAAGTCTATCAGAATACTTTGACCAGCTTAGCTATATTTCATGAATGAAGAGATATATTCTGAGACAAACATTGAAGAAAGCTGTCTATATCTGAACAGCTTTATAAACAATGCTTAAAGGAGTTCTATAGATAGAAACAAAGAAGAGAAATATACTTTTGCATGGAAATTGCAAAAGTATATTTAAAAATTATTTATTATTTAAAATATTAAATTAAATATTAATTAAAATATTTATTATTTAAAAATTTCAGATGAAATCAGTACAGTTATTCTAGATACAAATGGATTTTTACTCGTATGTTTGAGGGTCCATCCAAAAGTTTGTGGAAGTGTGTCTGGCATGGATTATGGGTATCTTGAGGCTTTGGGACATTCCTAGGGTCTGTTAGTTTTATTTTTCTGTGCTTAGGGCTCCTCTTCTCTGTGCTCAATTTTACCTTCTCCTTAGTGCAAACAGGATTCCTCCTCAATTCCTTTTTGTTATAGAATGAATATTGTCCCCCGAATTTGATTGTTTCTATCCTTAGCCTGGTAACTCACAATGTGAGCTGATGTGCTAATAGGCTCACTCCTTTTTGTCCAAAGTAAAAAAGTTTTATATGGTGGAAATTAAGTTCTTAGGCCTATAAAGTAAATATTCATGCCTCAAGACTTTTTGAAAATTTTATTAACTGTAACAATTTCATTATCTATGGGTTTAATGATATTAAAACACATGTACACAGCATACACTGACCAAATCAGGGTAATTAGCATTTTCATCTCATTATTCTTTCATTATGTTTGGAGATGCTGAGGTTCTCTCTTCCAGTTCTTTGTGAACTATGTAATAGGCTATCGTCACCCCACTGTGCTGTGGAACTCTAGGACTTTCTCCTTCTAACTTTCTTTCGATACCCATTGTGCAGCCACTCTCTGTAACTACCTCCTAGACCTCTTCAAGTTCTAAGTACCTATACCTCTTGTCCCATCTGATTTCCTGCTTTAACAGCCTCCCTCTCACCATCTCCTTGATTAAACCCATCATGGTTGCCTTTCCTGCTCCATAGATAGGGTTGACTCACTGCAGGCTAGAAGCAAGAGTTCCACCCAGTGTGATGGTGGGTTTGGGCTGAGTGGATTAGCCTCACGTGGTGGCAGTGCCCTGGAGCATGAGGGATTAATCCTGGGAAGATTAGCTCCTTTCTTTGCACTGAGGCCTCCTGTGCTCCCTGCCTACATCTACCAAGTGCTTGCTTCCAAAATGGGTTCTCTTCTCCCTTGTGTCACTGTGCATCTCACACACAGGTATTCTGATAGTTGCCTGGGTTCTGAATTGTGATAGGCTCAGGTTTCTGGTTTCTGAGGTACACAAACATATCATGAGTACATATTTTCTGACCTGGCTCACTTTTTTACATCTAGGTAGAAAACACAAACAGGTTACACGCAGACACTGACAGGCTGTAAATTAACTGTGTGTTGTCATAACGACTCCAAAATGGTTTCCCATGCAGATAACAGAAAACAAACTCACCTATTATTGACATTCTGGTTAGGGACAACCAAAATGTCTGTCAACGGATTATCATCCCTGTGAAAACAAACGGAAAAAAAAAAAACCATCAGACAATTTGGATGAAATGATGCTCTTTCCAGACAGGAGTTTCAGGGAACAAAGAATAAGTCATACATGCGAAAGCCTAGAGACACATGATGGGAACTAAAGCCACAGTTTAGGATCATGGCAGCGAGACCTGTAAGCCTGCCTCAAAATACGCTTGTGTGTGTATGTGAGGGGGCGTGTGTCCTTGTGAATGTAATTATTTACTAGAAATAGAAGGAAGCAAGGGGAAGCACCAATGTGATGGTTAAGATTCCTTCCCCACATTCTGTTCTCTGTCTCGTTCTGGTCAATGTCAGAGAACTTTGGGAAGTGAGAGGGAAATGACAGTGTAGGGATGGGGAAATCCATCTGGATAAAAGTGGACGTAAGGTTACAAATAAAGGGGTGGGGAAAATGCTGGAACAATGACAGTTGAATGGCAAAAATTAGTCCCTGGTGGCCATTTGGTTAGCCTGAAGCCAGTAATGTAGGTCAGCATCTACCTAAACTATAAGATTGTATAAACTGAAGAGAGAGCATGAGATCAGAATGATTATTTTTCTTTGTACTTTGTTTCTAGTATACCTTATTTTTTAGAGAAAATTTATTTGTGGAAAAATTAAAGTACTGAAAGTTTCCATATACTGATTATACTCATTCTGTCTCAGACAGTTTCTTCTATTCCTAACACCTTATATTCTTGTGGTACACTTGCTAATATACCAAATAAAACCCATAGTTGAGGTCCATTCATTGTATTGCACAGTTCTATGTGTTTTGCTAAATGCATGGTGTCATGGTCCATCATTACAGCATAAATTTCCCTGCCCTAAAACTTCCCTGTCTCCTACCTATTCATTCCTCTACTCATCCACCAGTGCCTGACAACTACTGCTCATTTTTCCTGTCTCTATACCTTTCTAGAATGTCATATAGCTAGAATCATATAGTAAGTAGCCTTGTCATATTGGCTTCTTTAACTTAACCATATGCATTCAAGGTTTCAGCAAGCTTTGTCATGGCTACATGGTTCAAATATTTTTAGTGCTGACAAATATGCCATTTTATGTACATGCTGGTTTGTTTATACACTCCTCTATCGAAGGATATGTTGGTTGCTTCCAATTCTTAATAATTATGAATAAAGCTGCTAGAAATATCTGTATGTCAGTTTCCATGTGGACATAACTTTCAAGCCAATTGAGTAAATACTTAAGGGTGCATTTTCTGGGTTGTATAGTGAGACTATGTTTGGCTTTGCAAGAAACTGTCAAACTGTTTTGGAAGGTGGCTGCATTATCTTGCATTCCCACCAGCAATGAATGAGGGTTCCCACTGCTCCACATCCTTGCCAGTATTTGGTATTTTCAGTATATTGGTATATTTCAGTATTTTGGCATATTTCAGGGATTTTAGCCCTTCTAATAGACTTTTTTTAGTATCTTATCGTGTTAATTTGCAATTCTCTACCACTGTATGACTGTGAGCATGTTTTGATATGCTTAAGGACTGTCTGTATATCTTCAGGGTGAGGTGTCTGGTCAAAGGATTGTTATGTTTTCCCACAAAAATCATTCCTTAAGAACAGGTCTTCAAAGAAGGAGGTACCTTTCTCTGAAGGGAGGAGAGAACCTCCACTTTGAATATGACCTTGTCTAAACAAGATAAGAGTCGGTGAACTCAAAAGGCTTCCATAGCCTTGGAAACTCATGACTGTTGCATAGGGAGATTACTGATGCCATAAACAGGAGTGTCAATTTGTAAAGTCAACAACAGGAGTCACTGTGCACTTACTCCTCATGTAGGATCTCTGTCCTTAATGTGCTGTACATTGAGACTTAATGCTATAATGAGTACTCAAACAGTATATTTCGCTTTGTGTTTCTATGGGGGTGCAAACTGTTGAAATCTTTACTTAATGTATACTAAACTTATCTTCTGTAAAAAAAAAAAAAAGAAGAAGAAGAAATTATTAATTCCCAACTTGACTCTCGATGGGATTAAACATGACAATAGGTCTGATCTGATTTCATCATCATTTAAAAAATCATCTATTAGTTTTCACTTTATGTTTGTGTGGGAGCTAACTGTTGAAATCTTTACTTAATGTACACTAAACTGATCTTCTGTATATAAAGAGAATCAAAAATGAATCCTCATGTGAATGGAAGGGGAGAGGGAGTGGGAAAGGGGAGGGATGCGGGTGGGAGAGATGTTATGGGGGGGAAGCCATTGTAATCCATAAGCCGTACTTTGGAAATTTATATTCATTAAATAAAAGTTAAAAAAAAAAAGAAAAAGGACTTGGATATCAAGAATTCCAAACTGAAAGAGAAATATGTGACAACATGCTGTGGATTTGTACTTAACAATGGAGAGTTTAGATTAATTATAGAGTTAAAGTCAGAAACAAACTCTACAATAAAAATGTTTTGGTAATTGTTAAATAAATCATTCCTTTATCATTACTTAATGGCCCTTGTTACAAATGACAATTTCCTTACTTTGAACTCTGCCTTTTCTGAAATTAATACAGCCATTCTTGCTTTTTCAAAATTAGTGTTAGCACGAAATGGCTTCCTCTATTCTCTCATTTTTATTCCACTTGTGTCTTTATACGTAAAGTAGGTTTCTTGCAAACACTATTTGGTTGGATATTATTTGTGATCGTTTCTATCTGACCCTATCCTTTAGTAATGTTGTATTAGGTTAGTTACATTTAAAGTGACTTTAATACAGTGATATTAATCGGTGACTTTTTCATACTTCTCTGAGTTCACTGTATAAAAGTCCTTTAACCCCTTTACCCACATGGGAGACCTAGAAGAAGCTCCTGGCTCCTAGCTTCAGCCTTGCCCAACCCTGGTCCTTGGGCCCATTTGGGGAGATGGCCAGGGGATGGAAGCACTCTCTATTTCTCTTCTCTGTAAAATAAACAAAGAAATCAGCCGGCACCGTGGCTCACTAGGCTAATCCTCCGCCTGTGGCGCCGGCACCCAGGTTCTAGTCCCGGTTGGCATGCCGGTTCTGTCCCGGTTGCTCCTCTTCCAGTCCAGCTCTCTGCTGTGGCCCAGGAAGGCAGTGTAGGATGGCCCAAGTCCTTGGCCCTGCACCCACATGGGAGACCAGGAACTTTGGGGGACATCGCTGTGGTGTAGCGGGTAAACCCCAGTCTGCAGTGCCAGGCCTCTCACATGGGTGCTGGTCGTGGCTTAGCTGCTGCACTTCTGATCCAGCTTTCTGCTGGTGCACCTAAGAGGGCAGCAGAGGACTCCTGCACCCACATGGGAAACCTAGAGGGAGCTCCTGGCTCTTTAGTTCATACTGGCCCAGTTCCAGCCATTGCAGCCATTTGGGAAGTGGACCAGCATTTGCAAGGCCTCTCTCTCTCTGTCTCTATCTCTGTCTCTGTCTCTGTCTCTCTCTCTACCTACCTACCTACCTCTCTAACACTTTCACATGAATAAAAATAATTCTTTTAAAGAATTTGTTTGAACTCACCATTCATTAGGGTCTTCCATAGTGACAGAGTTCAGTTTACCCTGGTTTGGGCTAAGAGATTATAAAGCAAAAGTACACAATCAGAAAGGAGGCTGATTTTAAGCTAAGTTTTTCAGATGAAATCAGTACAGTTATTCTAGATACAAATGGATTTTTACTCATATGTTTGGGGGTCCTTCCAAAAGTTTGTGGAAATTAAATAAGAACGTAAGTACTTTAGTGCAAAATAATTTTATTTTTATTTATTAATGATGTTGATTCATCCATGTGTGACCTAGTAGATTATAAACTTACTTTGTTGGATCCAAGAGCTATAGGTACTCATAAACTAGGTGGTCTTTAGTCACTACTTAAACCCAGTGTTGATGTTATTAGGAACACGACTTCATATTTCAGGTATAAACTTCTTAGTGATATGAACTTAGTAATGCTCTAGATATAATTAAAACTATTATTAACTTAGTCCCAGAGAGGGATAGCCCTTTGTGGTGTCACTTCCTTCTACTCAACTTCAATTTGTAGGGACACATCACTCTCACCTCACCTAAATTCTTGATTCTCAAGTCTCACCTTCACCTCCTTACTTTCACCCATGTTTGTGGTTCTTGTCCATGAGATATGGTCAGGTAGCTGCAGACCTGAGTCAGGGGTTCATTCATCCAATAGTGTGTCTGGCATGGGTTATGGGTGTCTTGAGGCTTTGGGACATTTCTAGGGTCTGTTAGTTTTATTTTTCTGTGCTTAGGGCTCCTCTGCTCTGTGCTCAATTTTACCTTCTCCTTAGTGCAAACAGGATTCCTCCTCAATTCCTTTTTGTTATAGAATGAATATTGTCCCCCGAATTTGATTGTTTCTATCCTTAGCCTTGTAACTCACAATGTGAGCTGATGTGCTAATAGGCTCACTGGAAACTAAGCAGTTAAGACGAGGTTCTATTGGCATAGAGTGAGCTCCTGATCCAATATGACTGGTGCCCTTATAAAAAGAAAAATGTGAACGCAGGCACAAACAGAAAGCATGCCATGTGCATATGTGAGCAGAGACCTGGGTAAGGAATCTAAGTGCCAAGGAATACCATAGATGGACAGCAATTGGCAATAGCTAGGAGAGAGGCATAGAACAGATACGTTGTTACTGACCTCCAAAAAGCCTATGTGCAGTAGTTCATTTTCCAGTTCTAACCCCTAGGTCTGTTATATAATAAACTTGTTTAAGACACTCAGCTTGTCATGTGTTGTTACATTAGCTCTAGCAAATGAACACTGCCCACTCTACTACAGTTGCATGCACAAATGATCTGATAGTTTTCCAAGAATTTTGGAACTAGTTATCAAGATGGGAAGAAGTCTGTTTCTTCTGACCTGTTCCTCTTTTATAGAACTGGATGCAAAAAAGGAAAAAAAGTTACAAACAAAAGCTGGCACTGCCAATACTTTAGAAACAGTTTTGAAGGAAATCTACATTTAATATGTATTTAGACATATGTGTATATATCTGTATACAAGTAGGTATCTGACCTTTCATTTTCGACTCCGCCATGAGTGGATACTGCTTCATTTAGAGCAGGGCTGAGGATTAAATTGTACATAATCAAACACCACGTGAATCCATGAACTTCATTTTTTATTCAAATTAGTTGTAATTGATCTACAATTTTAAATTGGTTAAACCTAAAAAGTCGCAGTTATTTAAAAATTTCAGAAGAAATCAGCACAGTTATTCTAGATACAAATGGATTTTTACTCATATGTTTGAGGGTCCTTCCAAAAGTTTGTGGAAGTGTGTCTGGCATGGATTATGGGTATCTTGAGGCTTTGGGACATTTCTAGGGTCTGTTAGTTTTATTTTTCTGTGCTTAGGGCTCCTCTGCTCTGTGCTCAATTTTACCTTTTCCTTAGTGCAAACAGGATTCCTCCTCAATTCCTTTTTGTTATAGAATGAATATTGTCCCCCGAATTTGATTGTTTCTATCCTTAGCCTTGTAACTCACAATGTGAGCTGATGTGCTAATAGGCTCACTCCTTTTTGTCCAAAGTAAAAAAGTTTTATATGGTGGAAATTAAGTTCTTAGGCCTATAAAGTAAATATTCATGCCTCAAGACTTTTTGAAAATTTTATTAACTGTAACAATTTCATTATCTATGGGTTTAATGATATTAAAACACATGTACACAGCATACACTGACCAAATCAGGGTAATTAGCATTTTCATCTCATTATTCTTTCATTATGTTTGGAGATGCTGAGGTTCTCTCTTCCAGTTCTTTGTGAAATATGTAATAGGCTATCGTCACCCCACTGTGCTGTGGAACTCTAGGACTTTCTCCTTCTAACTTTCTTTCGATACCCATTGTGCAGCCACTCTCTGTAACTACCTCCTAGACCTCTTCAAGTTCTAAGTACCTATACCTCTTGTCCCATCTGATTTCCTGCTTTAACAGCCTCCCTCTCACCATCTCCTTGATTAAACCCATCATGGTTGCCTTTCCTGCTCCATAGATAGGGTTGACTCACTGCAGGCTAGAAGCAAGAGTTCCACCCAGTGTGATGGTGGGTTTGGGCTGAGTGGATTAGCCTCACATGGTGGCAGTGCCCTGGAGCATGAGGGATTAATCCTGGGAAGATTAGCTCCTTTCTTTGCACTGAGGCCTCCTGTGCTCCCTGCCTACATCTACCAAGTGCTTGCTTCCAAAATGGGTTCTCTTCTCCCTTGTGTCACTGTGCATCTCACACACAGGTATTCTGATAGTTGCCTGGGTTCTGAATTGTGATAGGCTCAGGTTTCTAGTTTCTGAGGTACACAAACATATCATGAGTACATATTTTCTGACCTGGCTCACTTTTTTACATCTAGGTAGAAAACACAAACAGGTTACACGCAGACACTGACAGGCTGTAAATTAACTGTGTGTTGTCATAACGACTCCAAAATGGTTTCCCATGCAGATAACAGAAAACAAACTCACCTATTATTGACATTCTGGTTAGGGACAACCAAAATGTCTGTCAACGGATTATCATCCCTGTGAAAACAAATGGAAAAAAAAAAAACCATCAGACAATTTGGATGAAATGATGCTCTTTCCAGACAGGAGTTTCAGGGAACAAAGAATAAGTCATACATGCGAAAGCCTAGAGACACATGATGGGAACTAAAGCCACAGTTTAGGATCATGGCAGCGAGACCTGTAAGCCTGCCTCAAAATACGCTTGTGTGTGTATGTGAGGGGGCGTGTGTCCTTGTGAATGTAATTATTTACTAGAAATAGAAGGAAGCAAGGGGAAGCACCAATGTGATGGTTAAGATTCCTTCCCCACATTCTGTTCTCTGTCTCGTTCTGGTCAATGTCAGAGAACTTTGGGAAGTGAGAGGGAAATGACAGTGTAGGGATGGGGAAATCCATCTGGATAAAAGTGGACGTAAGGTTACAAATAAAGGGGTGGGGAAAATGCTGGAACAATGACAGTTGAATGGCAAAAATTAGTCCCTGGTGGCCATTTGGTTAGCCTGAAGCCAGTAATGTAGGTCAGCATCTACCTAAACTATAAGATTGTATAAACTGAAGAGAGAGCATGAGATCAGAATGATTATTTTTCTTTGTACTTTGTTTCTAGTATACCTTATTTTTTAGAGAAAATTTATTTGTGGAAAAATTAAAGTACTGAAAGTTTCCATATACTGATTATACTCATTCTGTCTCAGACAGTTTCTTCTATTCCTAACACCTTATATTCTTGTGGTACACTTGCTAATATACCAAATAAAACCCATAGTTGAGGTCCATTCATTGTATTGCACAGTTCTATGTGTTTTGCTAAATGCATGGTGTCATGGTCCATCATTACAGCATAAATTTCCCTGCCCTAAAACTTCCCTGTCTCCTACCTATTCATTCCTCTACTCATCCACCAGTGCCTGACAACTACTGCTCATTTTTCCTGTCTCTATACCTTTCTAGAATGTCATATAGCTAGAATCATATAGTAAGTAGCCTTGTCATATTGGCTTCTTTAACTTAACCATATGCATTCAAGGTTTCAGCAAGTTTTGTCATGGCTACATGGTTCAAATATTTTTAGTGCTGACAAATATGCCATTTTATGTACATGCTGGTTTGTTTATACACTCCTCTATCGAAGGATATGTTGGTTGCTTCCAATTCTTAATAATTATGAATAAAGCTGCTAGAAATATCTGTATGTCAGTTTCCATGTGGACATAACTTTCAAGCCAATTGAGTAAATACTTAAGGGTGCATTTTCTGGGTTGTATAGTGAGACTATGTTTGGCTTTGCAAGAAACTGTCAAACTGTTTTGGAAGGTGGCTGCATATTCTTGCATTCCCACCAGCAATGAATGAGGGTTCCCACTGCTCCACATCCTTGCCAGTATTTGGTATTTTCAGTATATTGGTATATTTCAGTATTTTGGCATATTTCAGGGATTTTAGCCCTTCTAATAGACATTTTTTTAGTATCTTATCGTGTTAATTTGCAACTCTCTACCACTGTATGACTGTGAGCATGTTTTGATATGCTTAAGGACTGTCTGTATATCTTCAGGGTGAGGTGTCTGGTCAAAGGGTTGTTATGTTTTCCTGCAAAAATCATTCCTTTATCATTACTTAATGGCCCTTGTTACAAATGACAATTTCCTTACTTTGAACTCTGCCTTTTCTGAAATTAATACAGCCATTCTTGCTTTTTCAAAATTAGTGTCAGCACGAAATGGCTTCCTCTATTCTCTCATTTTTATTCTACTTGTGTCTTTATACGTAAAGTAGGTTTCTTGCAAACACTATTTGGTTGGATATTATTTGTGATCGTTTCTATCTGACCCTATCCTTTAGTAATGTTGTATTAGGTTATTTACATTTAAAGTGACTTTAATACAGTGATATTAATCGGTGACTTTTTCATACTTCTCTGAGTTCACTGTATAAAAGTCCTTTAACCCCTTTACCCACATGGGAGACCTAGAAGCTGCTCCTGGCTCCTAGCTTCAGCCTTGCCCAACCCTGGTCCTTGGGCCCATTTGGGGAGATGGCCAGGGGATGGAAGCACTCTCTATTTCTCTTCTCTGTAAAAGAAACAAAGAAATCAGCCGGCACCGTGGCTCACTAGGCTAATCCTCTGCCTGTGGCGCTGGCACCCAGGTTCCAGTCCCGGTTGGCATGCCGGTTCTGTCCCGGTTGCTCCTCTTCCAGTCCAGCTCTCTGCTGTGGCCCCGGAAGGCAGTAGGATGGCCCAAGTCCTTGCGCCCTGCACCCACATGGGAGATCAGGAACTCTGGGGGACACCGCCGTGGTGTAGTGGGTAAACCCCAGTCTGCAGTGCCAGGCCTCCCACATGGGTGCTGGTCGTGGCTTAGCTGCTGCACTTCTGATCCAGCTTTCTGCTGGTGCACCTAAGAGGGCAGCAGAGGACTCCTGCACCCACATGGGAAATCTAGAGGAAGCTCCTGGCTCTTTAGTTCATACTGGCCCAGTTCCACCATTGCAGCCATTTGGGAAGTGGACCAGCATTTGCAAGGCCTCTCTGTCTCTGTCTCTGTCTCTGTCTCTGTCTCTGTCTCTCTATCTACCTACCTACCTACCTACCTCTCTAACACTCTCACATGAATAAAAATAATTCTTTTAAAGAATTTGTTCGAACTCACCATTCATTAGGGTCTTCCATAGTGACAGAGTGCAGTTTACCCTGGTTTGGGCTAAGAGATTATAAAGCAAAAGTACACAATCAGAAAGGAGGCTGATTTTAAGCTAAGTTTTTCAGATGAAATCAGTACAGTTATTCTAGATACAAATGGATTTTTACTCATATGTTTGGGGGTCCTTCCAAAAGTTTGTGGAAATTAAATAAGAACGTAAGTACTTTAGTGCAAAATAATTTTATTTTTATTTATTAATGATGTTGATTCATCCATGTGTGACCTATTATAAACTTACTTTGTTGGATCCGAGAGCTATAGGTACTCATAAACTAGGTGGTCTTTAGTCACTACTTAAACCCAGTGTTGATGTTATTAGGAACACGACTTCATATTTCAGGTATAAACTTCTTAGTGATATGAACTTAGTAATGCTCTAGATATAATTAAAACTATTATTAACTTAGTCCCAGAGAGGGATAGCCCTTTGTGGTGTCACTTCCTTCAACTCAACTTCAATTTGTAGGGACACATCACTCTCACCTCACCTAAATTCTTGATTCTCAAGTCTCACCTTCACCTCCTTACTTTCACCCATGTTTGTGGTTCTTGTCCATGAGATATGGTCAGGTAGCTGCAGACCTGAGTCAGGGTTCATTCATCCAATAGTGTGTCTGGCATGGGTTATGGGTGTCTTGAGGCTTTGGGACATTTCTAGGGTCTGTTAGTTTTATTTTTCTGTGCTTAGGGCTCCTCTGCTCTGTGCTCAATTTTACCTTCTCCTTATTGCAAACAGGATTCCTCCTCAATTCCTTTTTGTTATAGAATGAATATTGTCCCCCGAATTTGATTGTTTCTATCCTTAGCCTTGTAACTCACAATGTGAGCTGATGTGCTAATAGGCTCACTGGAAACTAAGCAGTTAAGACGAGGTTCTATTGGCATAGAGTGAGCTCCTGATCCAATATGACTGGTGTCCTTATAAAAAGAAAAATGTGAACGCAGGCACAAACAGAAAGCATGCCATGTGCATATGTGAGCAGAGACCTGGGTAAGGAATCTAAGTGCCAAGGAATACCATAGATGGACAGCAATTGGCAATAGCTAGGAGAGAGGCATAGAACAGATACGTTGTTACTGACCTCCAAAAAGCCTATGTGCAGTAGTTCATTTTCCAGTTCTAACCCCTAGGTCTGTTATATAATAAACTTGTTTAAGACACTCAGCTTGTCATGTGTTGTTACATTAGCTCTAGCAAATGAACACTGCCCACTCTACTACAGTTGCATGCACAAATGATCTGATAGTTTTCCAAGAATTTTGGAACTAGTTATCAAGATGGGAAGAAGTCTGTTTCTTCTGACCTGTTCCTCTTTTATAGAACTGGATGCAAAAAAGGAAAAAAAGTTACAAACAAAAGCTGGCACTGCCAATACTTTAGAAACAGTTTTGAAGGAAATCTACATTTAATATGTATTTAGACATATGTGTATATATCTGTATACAAGTAGGTATCTGACCTTTCATTTTCGACTCCGCCATGAGTGGATACTGCTTCATTTAGAGCAGGGCTGAGGATTAAATTGTACATAATCAAACACCACGTGAATCCATGAACTTCACTTTTTATTCAAATTAGTTGTAATTGATCTACAATTTTAAATTGGTTAAACTAAAAAGTCGCAGTTATTTAAAAATTTCAGATGAAATCAGTACAGTTATTCTAGATACAAATGGATTTTTACTCGTATGTTTGAGGGTCCATCCAAAAGTTTGTGGAAGTGTGTCTGGCATGGATTATGGGTATCTTGAGGCTTTGGGACATTCCTAGGGTCTGTTAGTTTTATTTTTCTGTGCTTAGGGCTCCTCTTCTCTGTGCTCAATTTTACCTTCTCCTTAGTGCAAACAGGATTCCTCCTCAATTCCTTTTTGTTATAGAATGAATATTGTCCCCCGAATTTGATTGTTTCTATCCTTAGCCTGGTAACTCACAATGTGAGCTGATGTGCTAATAGGCTCACTCCTTTTTGTCCAAAGTAAAAAAGTTTTATATGGTGGAAATTAAGTTCTTAGGCCTATAAAGTAAATATTCATGCCTCAAGACTTTTTGAAAATTTTATTAACTGTAACAATTTCATTATCTATGGGTTTAATGATATTAAAACACATGTACACAGCATACACTGACCAAATCAGGGTAATTAGCATTTTCATCTCATTATTCTTTCATTATGTTTGGAGATGCTGAGGTTCTCTCTTCCAGTTCTTTGTGAAATATGTAATAGGCTATCGTCACCCCACTGTGCTGTGGAACTCTAGGACTTTCTCCTTCTAACTTTCTTTCGATACCCATTGTGCAGCCACTCTCTGTAACTACCTCCTAGACCTCTTCAAGTTCTAAGTACCTATACCTCTTGTCCCATCTGATTTCCTGCTTTAACAGCCTCCCTCTCACCATCTCCTTGATTAAACCCATCATGGTTGCCTTTCCTGCTCCATAGATAGGGTTGACTCACTGCAGGCTAGAAGCAAGAGTTCCACCCAGTGTGATGGTGGGTTTGGGCTGAGTGGATTAGCCTCACGTGGTGGCAGTGCCCTGGAGCATGAGGGATTAATCCTGGGAAGATTAGCTCCTTTCTTTGCACTGAGGCCTCCTGTGCTCCCTGCCTACATCTACCAAGTGCTTGCTTCCAAAATGGGTTCTCTTCTCCCTTGTGTCACTGTGCATCTCACACACAGGTATTCTGATAGTTGCCTGGGTTCTGAATTGTGATAGGCTCAGGTTTCTGGTTTCTGAGGTACACAAACATATCATGAGTACATATTTTCTGACCTGGCTCACTTTTTTACATCTAGGTAGAAAACACAAACAGGTTACACGCAGACACTGACAGGCTGTAAATTAACTGTGTGTTGTCATAACGACTCCAAAATGGTTTCCCATGCAGATAACAGAAAACAAACTCACCTATTATTGACATTCTGGTTAGGGACAACCAAAATGTCTGTCAACGGATTATCATCCCTGTGAAAACAAACGGAAAAAAAAAAAACCATCAGACAATTTGGATGAAATGATGCTCTTTCCAGACAGGAGTTTCAGGGAACAAAGAATAAGTCATACATGCGAAAGCCTAGAGACACATGATGGGAACTAAAGCCACAGTTTAGGATCATGGCAGCGAGACCTGTAAGCCTGCCTCAAAATACGCTTGTGTGTGTATGTGAGAGGGTGTGTGTCCTTGTGAATGTAATTATTTACTAGAAATAGAAGGAAGCAAGGGGAAGCACCAATGTGATGGTTAAGATTCCTTCCCCACATTCTGTTCTCTGTCTCATTCTGGTCAATGTCAGAGAACTTTGGGAAGTGAGAGGGAAATGACAGTGTAGGGATGGGGAAATCCATCTGGATAAAAGTTGACGTAAGGTTACAAATAAAGGGGTGGGGAAAATGCTGGAACAATGACAGTTGAATGGCAAAAATTAGTCCCTGGTGGCCATTTGGTTAGCCTGAAGCCAGTAATGTAGGTCAGCATCTACCTAAACTATAAGATTTTATAAACTGAAGAGAGAGCATGAGATCAGAATGATTATTTTTCTTTGTACTTTGTTTCTAGTATACCTTATTTTTTAGAGAAAATTTATTTGTGGAAAAATTAAAGTACTGAAAGTTTCCATATACTGATTATACTCATTCTGTCTCAGACAGTTTCTTCTATTCCTAACACCTTATATTCTTGTGGTACACTTGCTAATATACCAAATAAAACCCATAGTTGAGGTCCATTCATTGTATTGCACAGTTCTATGTGTTTTGCTAAATGCATGGTGTCATGGTCCATCATTACAGCATAAATTTCCCTGCCCTAAAACTTCCCTGTCTCCTACCTATTCATTCCTCTACTCATCCACCAGTGCCTGACAACTACTGCTCATTTTTCCTGTCTCTATACCTTTCTAGAATGTCATATAGCTAGAATCATATAGTAAGTAGCCTTGTCATATTGGCTTCTTTAACTTAACCATATGCATTCAAGGTTTCAGCAAGCTTTGTCATGGCTACATGGTTCAAATATTTTTAGTGCTGACAAATATGCCATTTTATGTACATGCTGGTTTGTTTATACACTCCTCTATCGAAGGATATGTTGGTTGCTTCCAATTCTTAATAATTATGAATAAAGCTGCTAGAAATATCTGTATGTCAGTTTCCATGTGGACATAACTTTCAAGCCAATTGAGTAAATACTTAAGGGTGCATTTTCTGGGTTGTATAGTGAGACTATGTTTGGCTTTGCAAGAAACTGTCAAACTGTTTTGGAAGGTGGCTGCATTATCTTGCATTCCCACCAGCAATGAATGAGGGTTCCCACTGCTCCACATCCTTGCCAGTATTTGGTATTTTCAGTATATTGGTATATTTCAGTATTTTGGCATATTTCAGGGATTTTAGCCCTTCTAATAGACATTTTTTTAGTATCTTATCGTGTTAATTTGCAATTCTCTACCACTGTATGACTGTGAGCATGTTTTGATATGCTTAAGGACTGTCTGTATATCTTCAGGGTGAGGTGTCTGGTCAAAGGATTATTATGTTTTCCTGCAAAAATCATTCCTTTATCATTACTTAATGGCCCTTGTTACAAATGACAATTTCCTTACTTTGAACTCTGCCTTTTCTGAAATTAATACAGCCATTCTTGCTTTTTCAAAATTAGTGTTAGCACGAAATGGCTTCCTCTATTCTCTCATTTTTATTCCACTTGTGTCTTTATACGTAAAGTAGGTTTCTTGCAAACACTATTTGGTTGGATATTATTTGTGATCGTTTCTATCTGACCCTATCCTTTAGTAATGTTGTATTAGGTTAGTTACATTTAAAGTGACTTTAATACAGTGATATTAATCGGTGACTTTTTCATACTTCTCTGAGTTCACTGTATAAAAGTCCTTTAACCCCTTTACCCACATGGGAGACCTAGAAGAAGCTCCTGGCTCCTAGCTTCAGCCTTGCCCAACCCTGGTCCTTGGGCCCATTTGGGGAGATGGCCAGGGGATGGAAGCACTCTCTATTTCTCTTCTCTGTAAAATAAACAAAGAAATCAGCCGGCACCGTGGCTCACTAGGCTAATCCTCCGCCTGTGGCACCGGCACCCAGGTTCTAGTCCCGGCTGTCCCGGTTGCTCCTCTTCCAGTCCAGCTCTCTGCTGTGGCCCAGGAAGGCAGTGTAGGATGGCCCAAGTCCTTGGGCCCTGCACCCACATGGGAGACCAGGAACTTTGGGGGACATCGCTGTGGTGTAGCGGGTAAACCCCAGTCTGCAGTGCCAGGCCTCTCACATGGGTGCTGGTCGTGGCTTAGCTGCTGCACTTCTGATCCAGCTTTCTGCTGGTGCACCTAAGAGGGCAGCAGAGGACTCCTGCACCCACATGGGAAACCTAGAGGGAGCTCCTGGCTCTTTAGTTCATACTGGCCCAGTTCCAGCCATTGCAGCCATTTGGGAAGTGGACCAGCATTTGCAAGGCCTCTCTTTCTCTGTCTCTGTCTCTCTGTCTAACTCTGCCTGTCAAAAAATAAAGAAATCTTTAAAGCAAATACAGATTTTGTAATACTTTATAATATTCTCTTTTGGTTTTTGAGCATTATGAAATCATGACAATAATTGAGAAAATAATACTTCTCGAGTGAGCATTTTAATACCATAACTTAATTTGTATTAATTCAATTATCTGACACTTCAAAGGTATCTATAAATAGACTTTAGATATAGTTTTTGGTCTGCCTGGTGATAATGTAATTGTTTGGAGATCCATATTAGCATCATTTTCATATTTCTGGGTTTTCACCCTTTTCTGCATTGAAAATTTAGGGTATGCAGATATGGCTGAAGAGCCCATGAGATTATATTAGGCATGGAAAGCCAAGACACTCTCAACAAAAAGAAAAAAGAAGAGCTAAATGAAAGATCTCTGCTAGTGAGATGCCAGTGGAAAGAACAGGGCCATCAAAGAAGGAGGTGCCTTTCTCTGAAGGGAGGAGAGAACTTCCACTTTGACTATGACCCTGTGGGAATAAGATCAAAGTCAGCAAACTCAAAAGGCTTCCATAGCCTTGGCAACTCATGACTAGAGCCTAGGGAGATTATTGATGCCATAAACGAGTGTCAACAACAGGAGTCACTGAGTATTTACTTCTCATGTGGGATCTGTCCTTAGTGTGTTGTCCAATGTGAAGTAATGCTATAACTAGTACTGACACAGTATTTTACACTTTATGTTTCTGTGTGGGTGCAAACTGATGAAATCTTTACTTAATATATACTAAATCGATCTTCTGTATATAGTGATAATTTAAAATGAATCTTGATGTGAATGGAATGGGAGAGGGAGCAGGAGATGGGAGGGGTGTGAGTGGGAGGGAAATTATGGGGGGGGAAGCCATTGTAATCCATAAACTGTACTTTGGAAATTTATATTTACTAAATAATAAAAAAAGAAATAAAAAAAGAAAATTTTTCTTCAGATTAACTTTCAGACATCACATGTGCCTCACAAATTTCAAAAATGAAATTAATGGTTCTTAAATTTCACAAGAAAAAAAAATTTCACAAGAAATTCCTTTGGCAAAACCTGTCTCAAATGAACACATCAGCATCTACTCTTCTGATTATCCTTCAGACATATTCAGTTTGATTAAGCCAGCATCTCTGAAAGGTTTCTAATGGAACAGTAGTCTGAAATTATTAATACAAAATAAAAGCACTTATATTTCAGGTGCTATTGAAATACTTTACATATAATAATTCCTTAATTCTCATAATAATCTTATGAAGTTTACAGGATTATCCCAATTTGATAGATGAAAGCAATTAGCCTCAGAGAGGGTGACTAACTTGCCTAGTATCACCAAGTAGAAAGTAGCAGACATGAGATTGAAAGTCTCTTATCCTTAATACTTACCTGACTTTTCAAATGTTTATTCAAGTTTGGGAAATTGATTGCACACATTTTGCTTGTTTTTAAGGATTTATTTATTTCAAAGGCAGAGTTATGGAGAGAGAGGCAGAGAGAGAAAGAGAGAGAGAGAGAGAAAATCTTACCTGTGCTGGTTCACTCCTCAAATGGCTCCAACAGCCAGACTTGGGCCAGGCTGAAGCCAGGAGTCAGGAGCTTCATTCCTGGGCCCAAGTACTTGGACCATCTTCTGCTCCTTTTCCAGGCACATTAGCAAAAATGTTGGATCAGAAGAGGGGCAGCTGGGACATCCCATATGGAATGCTAGTGCTGCAGTTGGTGGGCTTACACCACTGTGCAGCAGCGCCACCCCAGCATATTTCTTTTATAAATACCATGGATCTCTAAAAGCTGACCAGAATATGCTGCAGTTCCTGACTTATTTGAACACAAACCTCATACTGCCAAAAGTATAAGAAACACATTACAGAAAGAGTATGTTAAATGCTATTTAATTGTCCCTTTAGCAAACCAATTTTGTACTCAGCAATAGATCAAAACTCTAAGAACAGACAGATATAATTATTATATTATTCCTCAAATATTTAGAAAGAAGACTATAGTCTAGATGTTCCAATAATTTTTGCCTGGGCTGAGGGTCCTTGAATGTAGTCGTTCAAGTATTATGCTGGTCTTCTGATATCCTTGAAGCATATCTGATAGGTATCTGCTATCTCTCAACAGGAAGATCAACAGGAATGTGTTGGGGATATAGCAATAAATCACCTTAAGGGAAAATGTTCAGACTGCCAAAAGGGGGAATATGAGTTTTTTGATGCAGGTAGCCTCATTGAATGATTATCAGGTTTTCCTGATGGGTTCTACTGAGGAAGAGAGCTGGTCAATATTCAAATTACTCCTCAGATCCAGCTGACAGACTAGGACAGCTAATCATATTTCTTGGGGCACCAATCTATCTGGGAATGAGACATCCATACAATAAATGGGATATAGTTCCAATATTCAGGAGGCAAAAACTCTTAAACCAATGGCTGCAGATAGGACCACCTAGCGGACAAGTCTCTGGTATACACTTACAGATATCATTCAGATTCTTAAATTGTGCTTATCCAAGGGGGAACTATCTGTATAATCATTTATCTGATTCACAGATTTTAATTTTCATACAGTTTTAGCATTTTCATGCTAAGTTGTAAGCCCCAGTGTCACTAATAAAAACACATTTGTAGCCTTTATTTTGGTAATTAACAACAATTCAGGTGTTTATCAAGACAAAACAACTGAAGCCCTTGTGGTGGCCTCTATGTGGAATGGTTTCCTGAGTTGGACCTAGCTTATCATTCCAGAACACATCATCCTCTGGTAGGGCAACCAGATTTCCCATAGGAAAAGCATAAAGTGATGGGCACATGCATATTATCACACCATCCAAACTAGTGTTTTTAAGGACATTTCAGGCATAGATTAACAAGATCTTTATTCTGTGAGCTTGACAAATTTCATCTCTATACAGTTTATATTTAGCCAGAATGAATGCACAGATTGCCTATCAGATTAACTAAAGTTGAAAGTTATGTTTAAAATTCAGTACATTAGAATAATATCACTTACATATCAGTATTTTTCTTTTTAGAGAACCAGCGATACTGACGATTCTTTTTGAATCTCTTCATATCGCCATGCGGTTAAATTCGATCCATAATCTAAGAAAAGTAAAAGCACTTGTGAATTTTATATTCCATGTGTTTAGACACCTATCATATCCTTCAAAGGAGAAAGACAAAGACTCACATAGAACTTATTAGGTATGGATCAGCATTTCTAAGGTCCTGACTCTGTAAATGAAGGAAATCTACAGTATCATGTAATTTGATAACTTATGTGGAACATACATTCTTTATTTGCCCTTGGTATTTTAGTTCCAAAAGTAGAAGAAAACATTTTTTGAAGATTCAACGATATTTACATTTACCTGCAGTACATTTTTTAAAAACTTCTTTGCTGTTAAAATATTATTTATTATTTGGATTACAGAATTATAGAGACAGAGATACAGAGTGAGAGAGAGCAAAATCATCTATCTGATGCTTCACTCCCCAAATGTCCACAATGGCTGGAGCTCTGCTAATCTGAAGCCAGGAGCCAAGAACTTCTTCTGGATCACCCACATGGATTCAGGAGCCCAAGCACTTGGGCCATCCTTGGCAGCTTTGCTGAGCCATTAGGGGAGCTGGATTGGAAGTGGAGCAGCTGGGACTCGAACTGCACCCAAATGGGATGTTGGCACTGCAGGCATTAGCTTTACCTACTATGCCAGAGCAGCAGCCTTACCCACTACACCACAGCACTGGCCCCAGAATAGACATTTAAGATCATCCAATTGCTACCCAGAACCAGAAAATGAAACAGAATCTGTTTCAACTCAATAGCTGTATCATCATAGTGACTTATGATATTTCCATCCTGAAACATTCTGTAGAATAAATCAAAGAAACGTGAGAAAAAGAGATGTGTCCCTCAACATTACACCCAGTAGCTTTGTGTCATGTAAGAAAATTGGAAGTCACAGGAAAATAAGACATTGCCAATCACATTGCCAGGGAAAAACAACATGATGACTACATTTAGGCAGTCAGAACTGTACCATAAGTCCCTAAACTCTTGGCAAAGAGAGAAAAATAATTTAATATAAAAATAATTATTTTTAAAAATAAATAGTCCAATTTTGGGCATAAATGTTGATTTTGAGTTTTGGACCCATGCCACAGCCATCTGTAAATTTCATACATTTGAAAGGATACCAACTCATTGGCAGAAGGGGTAGAAATTCCCAAGCTCCCAGTCTACCATCTAGTGCTCCAGAGATGTGCTAGAGGCACATCTTTAGATGTGAACCAGGGTGACCCAAGGCAAAGTGGGATTTCTAGGAATATTTTTTCTCTTACTATTCCTCAGAAGAGGCTAGAAACAACAGGATACAGTAGCTCTCAGTATTGTGCACTCCTGTAGTTTTCTCTAAAAGGGAGGTAACTTTTTTAAGATCTTGATTCAAGTTTCCTCTCCTACTATCCTTCAGAATAATGGTTTTCCCTTTTTTCATAGTTTCTTGTGTGTGTGTGTGTGTGTGTGCATTTATACATATATACATATATATATATATTCCTTTTCTTATTTTTAATTGCCCCAAATCAGAATTTGTTAAGTCAAATCTTCACTCAATTCCTTGCCAGCAACAAGGTCACTGCTACTTAACCAATATTGACTTAGTTGTTCACTGGTCCCAGAGGGTAAGGGAGATTTGGGAGGTCCCCCAGAGGGGAGAGGAATGTTTATCAGTGCTCTTCTCACCATTGGGCTCAAGGCTATCTTCCCATCTATGAGCCCTAAAGACTCTCAGCCCATCCCCACTCCCTTCCCTCCTTTTTCTCCAGCTATACACCTCCATTCTTTTCATGAGAATGAGAGGGCAGGGGATAGGATAGGGGGACCTTGCTCTGAGACCCTTACCACCATGTCCTACGCCTTTGGCTGCGAACATGCCAATGAAAGAATAAGAGTTCCATGTCCATGGCAACCACAGATTCTGGTGGTCTTGAGATCATTGTGAGGAAAGAATGGAATGAATTTGGTCCCAGACTGCAAAGATTTTTTTAAAGACACATGCTGTTTGAAAGATGGGTGACAGAGTACACCAACATCAAATACTCCAGAAGAATAATCTCAAAGCAGAGATTGTTTTATCTGTTATTTTTTCTTTTGTGTATAATGGAGGGGCTTCTTACACACACAGATATTTCAAAAACTAGCTTTATTTTCTTTGTGGGTTGGAAGACTCAATACTGTTAGGATGTCAGTTCTCCGACAAAATGGAGTACAAATTCAATGCAATCTCAACCAAAAATTTCAGTCAGCTTTAAGAAAATTTTGGTAGAAATTGGGAGTTGTTTCTAAAATTCATGTGGAAATATAAAGGAATTCCAAAATCCAAACAACTTTGATACAAGAACAAAGTTGAAGGGCAAACATGAGTTGATGTCAAGACTTTTTAGGACAGACATAAGTAAAAATAAATCAATAAAACAATCAAAAGAATAACAAAGAATCAAGAATCAAAGTATATACCCACACAAATAGACAACAAAGATAGAAAGGGAAATCAGCCACGCAGGATAGTATTTTCAAAAAATGGTGGTTGATTGATTGAAAAATTAACCTCAGTATGTAAGTCTCATCATATCAAAAACCAGAGAAATAAATGCAAAACTCAAAATCAATAAAATTTCAGGAGAATACTCTATGGCCTGTATTAAAGTTTTCTAGATACAACACCAAAAACATGATCCACAAAATAAAAACTGACCAATTGGTCTTCATCAAAATTTAAAACTTCTCTCCAAAAGACAGTTAAGAGAATGAGAAGGGATTACACAGTCTGGGAGAAAATCATTCCAAAGCATATATTTTAAAGAGACATCCAAGAGATACCAAGGTGGCAGAATGGAAAGATAACTGCTATAGTCAAAGGGAAGACAGTTAAAAAACATGGAGAGAGTGCAATCTCAGGGAGCAGTTAGGAAGAAAACTGCAGTGGAAACTCCACAGGAGTTAGAAGGACACTGTAGATCTAAGTGGAGGGTGTGGACATGCAGCATGAACACAGACACAACACAGGCCCCCAGCAGCCAAGAGCCTCAGCAACACCTTTGGAGGGGAATGAGGTGAGAATAAACTACGGCAGCCTAAGCCACCAGCCATAAAGCTGTGTGTAGACATGAGTCTGGCTTGGAGCCCTGTGGGGGACAGTGTACCTGCCAACTTAAAGGAAAACAAAGGAGGCTGTTTCTCTCTCCTCCTGACCACCAAACCATGGTGTCCTGTAATTAGCTGAGAGGGTGGGTGTCATTTGATCATAGGTAACAGCTGCATCAGCTTGTGTCTGTACACCCAGCAACCACCCAAGAGGAGATGCCTGTGTCTAGCTGGGAGAATTGACAGGTGACTGGACACCCATGACTGTGGGAGCCTTGTGTGCAAGGACTGTGAAAAAAACTGTGTCAGTGTGGGAGGGTGCAGGGTGTGGCTGGGTCTCTGGGGAGTTGCAGTGGGCAGGTCCACACACTCCAGGCTCATTGATTGCTTTGGGAAGGCCATTACTGAGGGATCTGTGCTTACATTAAAGACTGCATGGATCCTTTTTCTGTTTCATGTGGCAGCATGGATGAATATTGCACCCATTGGGGATAGCACCTGCATTTTTACCTTGGAGGAGAGGAGGTGAGCATGAAACTATGCCAACAGAGCTCATCAAACTCTCAACACTAATAAAAAAAAAAGATTGACATTTGCCACATTCATCTTGGGTGTCACTCTGGACATTCCCCTCACTCTGGAGCACTGAATGGAGCTTTCTGGCAACACCCAGCACAGACCTCTGAAAGAGCAGACACTACACTGTGCCACAGAGGCATAGTCCAAAGATAAAAGCCACCAAGAGAAACAAGCACCAGCAACAAATATCTCCACAAATGCTTAAAATAAACAAAGAAAATCTAGAATCAAATAGGGAAGACTACATGACACCCCCAAAGGAACACAATACTTCAATACTAGAATGTGAAGATGGAAAGTCTGATGAAATGCCAGTAACCAGTTTCATAAAACTGATTGTAGGATTATTTAGAAGTAATGAGGGGCAAATTCATGAATTCAAGCAATCTATATGTGACATGAATTAAAATGTTTCTCATGAAATTGAAATATTAAAGAGAAATCAAAATAAAATATTACAAATTACAAATGAAGAATTCAATAGATCAAATAAAAAATGGGGTAGGAAGCTTTAACAACAGACTCAGTGAGGCAGAAGAAAGAATATCTGAGTTAGAAGATAAGCCTCTGGAAATTTTACAGTCAGATCAAAAATAAAGAAATTAGAAAACTTAAAAACAATGTTGGAGATTCATGGGATACTCAAAGGACCCAACATACGGGTCTTTTCCTACTCCTCTTTCTTCAAATGGAAATCTCTCCTTCTTCAGCCCACTCTAGCAGAGACCCACAAATGGGAAACCTGAGTTTCCTAAGGGATTGTTTGCCCCCAACTAAAAATGACAAAAATACTTACTGGAAGAGCCATGCCTTTCATGACTTCTGCTTCTGTTACCCAATTTAACCTAAGAAAGACAAAAAGTTCTCGACAGATACTATAGTGTTCTCAAGGACAGTAAATTTCACAAAAATCAACTGTTTTCTTTCATTGTATTATGTTTCTGCGTGTGTGGTGTTGATAGAAATATCTAGGTGTGTATGAGAGCAATTAAAAAGGTTCATGAAAATGGATTTGAACAATAAGTTTATATTGATGCAAACATTCTGAAATACCGGCATACATAACTCATATTTCCATTCACTCTTCCTTTTAAAAAAGATTTAATTGGAAGGTGGAGTGACAGAGCGTGGAAGAGAGTGAGTGAGAATGAGAATGAGAGAAAGAGATAGCTACCCTTTACTGGGTCACTCCCTAAATGTGGGGAGCAACTGGGAGCAACTCGGACTAGACTAAGTTACTGGAATTAAGACTTATTCTATGCATCTGCTTTCCCACAATATGGCGCTGAGAAGGGAAACAGCTTCTACACAGCTGCCTCCAGTTCAACCAATAAACTGTGGGACCTGCTCCTGATTGGAGGAGAGCAGCGTACTCGGTGTGTGGGTAGCAGAGTTGGGATTGGTGGAAGAGGACTATAAAGGAGGAGAGAGACGGCATGCACAGGGAACATCTAAGGGGAACATCTAGCTGAAGGAACACCTGTGCAGCCCCCCGAGAAAGCCGGCCGGCGGTGTGCCGCTCCCCTGCGGAAGTGGGGAATGCGGCCAGGGGGAACTGCCCTTCCACGGAGGTGGAAGGGATAGTAGCCAACCCGGGAAGAACCAGCAGCAAACCCGGGGAGGGCCGAGCAGACGAAAGAACAGCGCAGGGTCCTGTGTTACTCCTCCACGAACAGGGGGAGCGACACCTAAATGGCCTCAAAGACTAGGGCTGGATCAGGCCAATGTCAGGAGAAGAAACTCCATCTCATTTTTGCATGTGAGTGACCAGGCTCAACTTTGGGCCATCAGCCGTGTCCTTCATAGATGTATTAACATGAAGTTGGATTGGAAGGGAAGCATCCAGAACTCTTTTAGCTGGGATGAGTTAAAAGACAGAGACAGACTCAATGGATTAAAAAAGAGAACCCATCAATGGATTAAAAAAGAAAACTCATCTATTTGCTGCCTACACTGTCAAAGAGGCACACAGACTGAAAGTGAAAGGAGGGAAAATGATATTCCATGTGCTTTTTGATGATTATTCATGCACACACCCATACATATGCACACATAACACATAAACACACACAAATAAATATATGTAATCTGACAAAAATGCAACCCTAAAAGACTAGGGATTAAAGTATTCGTTCACTCTGGATATACTTCTGTTTTAAGAGTCCTGAGATAGTCATTATTGTCACATGGAGCATCATTTTTAAATTTTTAAAAATACCTACCACATTCAAATTAATGATATGCACACGTGTATTTATATATCAATCAGTTCACAAGTAGTAGCTTAATTTTAAGGATTGTATATAGTTACCTGTGTCTTTCAGGGGGTTCATGTATACATATACACATATTGCATTTGTTTTTCATTCATTTATCATTGCTGGATTCCATATAACTAATGATGTTGATTCATTTGGGTGTGAGCTAAGGGAATATAAAGATATATAGTCAGAAATCACACAAGATTTTATCTTATTATTTTATACTTTAAGCTCTCAAAATTACAAAACAAAGAATATTAAAAACTGCAAGAGAAAAGTATCAAGTTAACTTTAAGAGCAATCCTATTAGAATTGTAACAGATTTTTCAACAGAAACAATACAAGCCAGGAGAGAATAGAATGATATATTCCAAGTTCTGGAAACAAAAAGTCTAGCAGAATGCTTTAACCAGCTTAGCTATATTTCATAAGTGAAGAGAAATATAATTCTAAGACACACAAAAATTGAAGAAATTTGCCTCTATCAGATCAGCTTTATAAACAATGCTTAAAGAAGTCCTATAAATAGAACCAAAGAAAGATAACTATCATGATGGAAATACATGAAATTATTGAATTTCTGACATTGACTTGCTTGCTGAAAGTGGCAGAAGATGCTGGTTTATTCCTCAAATGGACACGATAGCCAGGGTGAGTACAGGCCGAAACTAGGAGCCAGGAAGTCCATTCTGGTCTCCCACATGGGTGGGAGGGGCCCAAGTCTTTGAGACATCTTCCCACTGCTAGCTTTAATACTGAGCTGGATTGGAAGCACAGCATCAGGGAATTGAATGGTCACTCTGAGACAGGATGACATTACAAGTGGCAAGTAAACCTCTGCTCCACAACACTGGTTCCCTTCCTCAAACTTTTTGAAATGTCTTTATTCATTGATTTGGACCTTACATTTCACTGATGGGTCTTCATAGATTCCTGATGTCAATTCAGTCAAGTAAGATCAAAAGGATTAAAGAATAGTACATAGGCATAAATCATATGTGAATATGACTTACTTTTTCAGTCAAGTGATCACATGTATCCTAAAGCTTGATTTTTTCTTTTTACAGGCAGAATTAGACAGTGAGAGAGAGAAACAGAGAGAAAGGTCTTCCTTTTCCCTTGGTTCACCTCCCCCCCAAATGGCCGCTATGGCCAGCATGCTGCACCGATCTGAAGCCAGGAGCCAGGTGCCTCCTCCTGGTCTCCCATGCGGGTGCAGGGCCCAAGGGCCTGGGCCATCCTCCACTGCACTCCCGGGCCACAGCAGAGAGCTGGACTGGAAGAGGGGCAACTGGGACAGAATCCGGCACCCCAACCGGGACTAGAACCTGGGGTGCCGGTGCCGCAGGAGGAGGATTAGCCTAGTGAGCTGTGGCGCTGGCCTAAACTTGATGTTTTAATATGCATCTGCATGTTACTACTTTGAGTCTGGTGTTTTAAAATTAGGAATGAGTTTATATGGTGGTAATGATTACCTTAGGCTGGTGAAAATAGTACTATGTCCAGTTTTATGTTGTTAACATCTTAACACCGATATGTGAAAGGCTTTTGTGGTAGAATTTATTTCAAATTCAACTTCACTTTCTGATTACACATTGCTCTTACTAAATCAAATGCCATTACTTCTTAGGTACACCTATCACCTCCTTACTTTCATTCCAAATGACTGTTTTTCCTGCCCCTCAGAAACATTCAAGTAAATTTATGTGTGAGTGGCTCCATCTTGTGTGTTGGAGAGTTTGGTGTCAGGGATAAAGCTCATATGCTGGCAGAGACCTGAAGGATGAGGAACACACCCTGGTTCCATTAGCTCCATTCTCTGCTGCAGGCTCCACTTCTTCCTATCCACTGGCACCTCCTGGCTTCCAATAAGGCTCTTTCCTTTCATCCATCAGTACAGTAAAGTCTAACACACAGGCATTCTGAAAATTTCCTTAGAGCTTTTCTAGGGGTTACTAGATTTGAATACTAGCAGGAGGAAGAAGTATTCCTCTTATGACACGTTCTTCTTTTACCCAAATTTGTGCAAAAACAGGAAAATGACCTACATATGCTTCTGTGAAAATATATGAAAAGAGTCTCCAACACTCTCTTCTGCCATGCTCCTCTCAGGAATTTTGCCAAATCTCAATCATCATGATTTTCTGTGTATATTTGTGTGAGTATTCATATATGTATCATGTTTGTATGTGTACATGTAATTAGCATATATATCTATATCTATCTGACAAAGTGTATTCATCCATATATCTTTTTTAAAATATAATTTTACTTATTTGAAAGAGTTTCAGAGAGAGAGGTAGAGACAGAGAAAGAGGTCTTCCACCTGCTGGTTCACTCCCCAAATGGCTGCAACAGCCAGAGCTGATCCAAAGTCAGGAGTCCAGAGCCTCCTCCGGGTCTCCCATGTGGGTGCAGGAGCCCAGGGACTTATTTCACCCATCACTGTCTTTTCTGTCTATGAGATAGGGTAGAACAGCTGCAGGCCTGTGCAGAGGCATCTGCCAAAATAATATTGGGTCTGTGGCACCAGCCTCATATGGTGGCAGAGCTTGGAAGGAGAGGCACACATCCAGGTTCCAGTTGATCTTATCATTTCTGGGAGGGCTCTGCTGCTCCCTTTATACTACTTCCTGTTCTTGGCTACAAATAAAAATCTTTTCTTTACTAGAGGAGTCAAGTGGAGACTAGTATATGGGACACCTGACAATTTTCTAAGGGATTGACTGCAACAAAGGGGAATAAGCGAACTGACTGGAAGAGGCATGCCTTCCATGACCAGTCTCTCTTATGTACAACTTGAACCCAGAAAAAAGAAAGTTTGCTACAGACCACACCATCAGAATATTTAGAAAGTGGCAAAGGCATATTGCATTGCAAGGATATTGCCAAGAACAAATTTTACAAATGTCAACAGCTTTCATTCTGTGATGTGTTGGTGGGTGTTGACAGAAATATCTAGGTGCATGTATAAGTATATATATAAATATACATTTACATGGTCACATACTTATCTTCTCAAGTTATTTGTGCTCATACTTGGTAACACCTTGACCATACATAACTGACTCCAATTTATTTGGGTGTGGGCTCAGATATAAAAGTACATAGTCAGAAAGGTATAATTTTAACTTTTTTCTATCAAATAGCTACAGTTGCTCCAGATAAAAACTATTTGGTGTTTATCTGTGTGTATGAGAGTCCTTTAGAAAATTTATAGAAGTGAAATGCAAAGGTAAGTTTTTTAGTGCAAAATAATTTTTAAATCAATGCATCATAATTTTCTTCATGCATTTACCTTAAACTTTGAAGATGCCTTTTATACATGGATTTTAATAACTTTAAATACATGTCCATAACTTTTGAAAGTTCTTTGGTATATCACTGCTTGAATGTGTTGTGTTATTTATTACTAGAAATGATTACAACATGTGATGAGGATCTCTTTTGGTCATGTTTACTAGGGGTTCTATGAGCTTCCTGTACTAGGATGTCTCTGTCCTTCTCCAAACCCTGGAAGTTCGCTGCAAGCATCTCACTAAAAAGGCCTTCTAATCCTTTCTCTCTCTCCATGCCTTCAGGAACTCCTAGAACCCGAATGTTGGTTTTTTTAATAGTATCCTGTAGATTCCCAACAATATTTTTTAGATTTCTAATTTCCTCTTCTTTTCTTTGGTTTGACTGTAAACTTTCCTGTGCTCTGTCTTCTAAGTCCAATATTCTCTCTTCTGTTTCACTGACTCTGTTTTTAAGGCTCTCTAATGTGTTTGTCATTTGATCTATTGACTTCTTCATTTCATTTTGATTTCTCTTCACTATCACACTTTCCTGTTCTACTAGTTTCTGCGTTTCATTTTGATTCCTCCTTAAGATTTCATTTTCTCAAAGGAGATTTTCTATCCTGTCCAGTAAGGAATTCCATAGCTCAAGCATTTGTTTTTGAAAACTTCTAATTGTTCTTATCATAAATTTTTTGAAATCTGTATCCCTCTCATCATCTTCATAATCTTGGCCTGGGGTTTCTTGTTCATTTGGCGGTGTCATAATGTCTTCCTTGTTCTTGTTTCCTCAGTTTTTGCATTTGTTGCTTGGCATTGTGGAGATATTCTTTGGATTCTTCTTCCCTCGCTGTGGTGTTTTTTCTTGTTATACTATGACTGTATTAAGTGGACTGTCTGCTTTTAATGGAGCCTTAGAGGCTTGAGATGGGTGTGGCCTGAGAGTTCTGTTTGGTTCCTCAGGGTTAAGGGTGTGCCAAAGGTGACACTCACAGGTTTGGTATGGTAAATCTCTCTTTCTTTTTTTGATTCAAAAGGGAAGTAATTCCACACAGCTGAGCAGAATTGGAGGTAGTCAGCAGGCAAATGATATACCCACAGGAGCCAGAGATTGGAAGCTCTTTCCCAAGGACCACACAGGGAATCTGTACTGCCCTCAGTGTGGGCTCAAATTCTCCTGCAGTCTCCCACTGGGTTGCCAAAGTTACCGAATTGTAGCATCTCTGTGAATTCCGTGAGTTCTCTCCCCCACCATCTCTTTTTTCACAGTCTCAGTTCAGTAGCACCACACATTCACTAGGTCCTAATCTCCTGCTATTTCACCACCCCCAGAGTCAGGTTTTTCTGCTTGGCTGAGGGTGGGTGCAGACCTGAGGTCACCCTGCTTATGACGTATGTCCAAGATGGCACCTGCTCTTTGTTTTGCTCACCTTTGAGAGGTGAGCGGAGAGAGAGAAACTCATGTCCGTATTGGTCACTTTTTTTTCCCTCTCTCTACTAGATAGCCTGGTGAACTTTTCCCCACGGAGTCGTTCCCTCTAGTCTCCTCTTTCCGCTTGCCCGCCAGTGTCTCGGGCTATTGAGGTTCAGCTCACCTCACATTCCAGTGCTTGTGCGTTGATTCTGCTGCTGGTGTCCCAAACTGTGGACTCCCACACTCTCCATGCAGGTCCACTGTGAATCACTAGTTCCAGAAGAGTTTCCTCTGCTGTTTCTTCCCCTACTCTTCCTTGAACCTGCAGTATCTCCACTTTTATTAAACTGTCTCTGAAGGGAGCACACTGGTAGTCCTGGAAGAATTTATTTTCAAATTCAACTTTAGTTAATAGGTGCATGTCACTCTCATTCCACATAAATTCCTGATTCTCATGTCCCTCCATCTACTCACTACTTTCACTCATCATTGCCTTTTCTGTCCATGAGATATGGTAGAACAGCTGTGGGCCTGAGCAGGGGCTTCCTCCAAAATGATGTTGGGTTTTGGGGCACTGCCCTCACATGGTGTCAGAAATTAGAAGCTGAGGCACACATCAAGGTTCCAGTAGATCTTATCATTTCTGGGATGAACCCACTGTTTCCTGTCTACTAGCTCATCAAACTTTGCTCCAAATAGGATTCGCTTCCTCAATGGGCTATTCTAGTGGATACTAACGAATGAGACAGCTGACAATTTCCTAAGGAATTGTCTGCTACTAAGAGTGACAAGTCTACTGACTGGAACAGATGTGCCTTTCACAACCAGTGTACCTCATGCATAATTTGATCTCAGGAAAACAGAAAGCTCTCCACAGATCCTACAGTAAGAAGACTTAGAAAGTATCAAGACACCCTGTGTTTCTAAGGATACTCCCAAAGGTGAATTTTACTAATCCCAACCTCTTTCCTTCTTTCATTGCATTATTTTGGCAGATGTTGACAGAAATATTTATCTGTGATTTTATATATATATATATTATATATAATGTTATATATATGACAGATACATATAAATACATATATATACTTGTGTATATGTATATCTTTTAAAATTTATTTGAATTCACCTTTCATTGAAGTTGTCCAAATCGTTAATGACTCCAATTCACCTTGGTATGGCTAAGAGATTATAAAATAAAAGTACACAGACAGGAAGGATGCATGATTTTAACAAGTTTTTTGCATCAAATCACTGTTATTCTAGATACAAATAGATCTTTATTCATATGTTTGAGGGTCCTTCAAATAGTTTGTGGAAATGAAATGGAAAGATATTTTACTAGTGCAGAATAATTTTGAAATCCATAAATTTCCTTAATTGCAATTGCTATCTAACTTTTGAAGACCTCTTTTATGTATGAATTTCAAATATTTAAATACCATTTTCCTCAAATCTTTGGAAGTTCTTGGTATATCACTGTTTGTGATGTGCTACTGAAATGAGGCCTTCTACACCAATAATGAATATCTTCATCCTGAGAAAATCTACTTCCAGAATTATGTAAAACTATTATTACCTTAGTCCCAGTGAGTGACTTTTTTTTAGTGACAGATTTTACTTAAAATTTATTTTAAAATTCTACCTTAGTTTATAGGCATACATCACTCTCACTCCACTTAAATTCCTGGGTTTCAAATGCTCCCTCTTCTCGCTGCTTTTACCTATCACTGTCTTTTTCTGCCCATGGGATATGGTAGAGCTGCTGCAGCTTTCCCTCAAATGATTTTATGTTTGGGGCACCACCCTCACATGGTGGCAGAGCTTGGAGGGTGAGACACACATCCAGGTTCCAGTAGAACATCTCAAATCTCCATCTCTCTGTGTATATATGTGATTGTGTGTCTGTGTCCATTTACATATATATCTGTTTACATATACAAATATATTTATATAGAGCTCACCTTTCATCAGTGCCTTCATCACTAGTTATTGTTAAGTCACTTAAAGAGATGCTGGAGGATTAATAAATTATACAATAAGATACAACATAATTTTCTAGATTTTATTTTAGTTCAAATTAGTTACAAATGTTCTTTAACTTAAAAACCGATCGACCTTTAAAAAAACTTTTGAAAAAGTTAAAATTGAGACATGTTAACAAGTTAACAACTCCAGATTTTAGTTCTTTACTACTGAACCTAACCACAATGAGTAACAGTATTTATTTCAGAATTCGCCCTGAGTTTGCAGATACCTATTCTCTTGCCCCATCCAATTTCATGATTCTCAAGAATATTCACCATGTCAGTCTTCATGAATCATAATGTCTCTACAGCCCCTCAGGTAAGGTCAAACAGACCAGAGGTAGCAACTCCTTTAACGTGATGATATGTTTGTGGTTGGCACCAGCCTCACATGGTGGCACAGCTCTGGAGAGTAAAGGGTACATCCAGGATACACTGG